GGGCGGGAGAGAGGGGCGGCCCCGGGAGCCGCCGGCAAGGAGAATCCACAGGGCGAGGGGTCAGGCTTTAACAGCCCAGAAACGCGGCAGGGGGAGAGGGGGGCCCCGGAAGGAGAAGACTTTGAAGAAGAGAAGGCTGAGGGGAGACCTCATCACTCTCTACAGCTACCTGAAAGGACATTGGAGAGAGGTTGGTGCTGGTCTCTTCTCACAGGTCATTAGCGACAGAACAAGAGGGAATGGCTTTAAACTGCAACAGGGGAGGTTTAGACTGGACATTAGGAAAAAATTTTTCACAGAAGGAGTGGTCAGAGAGTGGAATAGGCTGCCCAGGGAGGTGGTGGAGTCCCCATCCCTGGGTGTGTTTAAGGGTCGTTTGGATGAGATGCTGGGGGATATGGTGTAGGGGAGAACTTGGTGGAGTAGGGCTGATGTTGGACTCGGTGATCCCAAGGGTCTTTTCCAACCTGAATGATTCTGTGATTCTGTGAAAAGACAGCAAGGGGGGATGGCTGGTGTGGGCAGAACCTGGACTCTGGGCCCCCATAGTCCTTTTGACTGTAAAGAGGCTTAAGTGGTTGGCAACAGCAATAGGCTTGCCTTGGCAGAAAGCAGGGGCAATCATTGTGGCCTTGCCTGCTGATAAGATGAAGGAAAAAAGACTAAAATGAGTGATCTGGAATTCAGAAGTCTGAGACCCTCTAACACCTAATAGAGAGGGGATGCCCTGGACAGATGCTCAAGCGGCAGCAGCCTCTCTGTGTGGAAATGTGTATGTTTGTGTTCATCTGGGCATCAGAGCAGAGGAAGGAAGCAGAGACCTCTGATCTTGCCATATACAGAATAACTGCGGAGCAGGGAGATGTGCCCTGGGACCACAGGAAGATGTAGATCAGATTGGGATCAACTTTTAAGTGTATGGGCATGCTAGAACATGGGAGCCGGATCAGTGCAGTGAAAAAGGGGATTGTAAAATTGTATGCAGTAATGCAAGGGCTGTTAAGGAAAGGGATTACAGGAGAGGGAGAGAGCTGGTGAAAGAGTTGGTTTGGCCTGTTGCTAACAGAGAACTGGAAGGCGTGGGAGGAGTGACTGGTTACATGGACAGCATCTTGGTTATGGGGCTTAGTCACTCTAGAAAAATACTAACAAGGATAGAGGAGTTTGGATTTAACATGAACTAGGAAAATCTTGGGCTGATGTGCTGGTTAGAACATCAGGGATGTTGTTAAAGTATTACAACTCCTCTAATCTTCATTCTGTTTGTTAAAGGTGTAAAAACATGTAACAGCTGCTGGCACGTGCTTTCCCTCAAGTTCTCAAGGGAGTTCTAATATTTAGCCTCAAGACAGTGGGAACTTGGTGTCCAATGAATATTTGTTAATAGTCCTTTTAGAAGTAACTGATTTTACTTTAAAAAGGGGTGTAGAATGAGCAAAAATGAAACAGATTTGGTTTTCGTATTGGAGCACAATATGGGGCAGATGCAGAAGTTGCATGGAGTCTGCATGGTACTTTTGCAACCAAAGTAATACCAGAGGGATGCAGTTATAGTAGGCTATATATGCTGCAGATTAGTTTGGGACACTGAGGATATTCAGACAAAGCCTGGTATTAATCCTGTAATATATGGGATGAAATAGGAAATATCAGGAATATAGAATGAAATACAGAATGTCAGAAGTTAATTATTCTGAAACACATTCAGAGTGTGCCTCTTCTGTACTGCCTGCCTGGCAAAGCTTGCCTGGCATGCTGGCTGCCTGGCAAACATAATGGAAACAATACAGAAGGTATGGGCACATCTGACATTTAACATCCTATATTAATTTGATATTGAAATGCTCTCAACTAAGGAAGAAGGGGGTGGAGAGATGAATTCTGCATCCCATACAAAGTAATCCAGAAACAAACTTGCAATGACAAAAACCATCTGGAATAGCCAGAAAGTGGCACATGGCAAAACGGACTGCTGATATAACAGGAAATACCTCTGAGGTGTTGAGTTCAACAGTATCTGTGGCTATTTACTGTACCAAGCACAACTGCTGGCAACTGAAACAGTGAACCAGTAGTTAGATGCTTTTTGTAAGGGATTAATTCCTTTCTCATGAGCAATACAGCAGAGCTGGGAGTGCACCAGAGGAGTGGTGCCAAATTTTGTCTTGGGAACAGGATGGATCTTCAACGACAGGATAGTGGCTTGGGGACGTATTGAAGGAGGGTTATGAAGAGTGGGATATAAACCTTCCGTTGGCCTACTGAAAGTCTCGAGTATGGGACTGCAAGAACCTGATTTAGAAGGAGAACATGTGCATATAGTAAGACTTTAAGTCTAACCAGCTGCTGTTGGAAGTGAACAACTTCAAGGCATGTATGATCTGCACCACCTGCTGAACCCTGTGGAGCACTATGGGTATCACCATGTGGCCCTGGGAAGGAGACAGAATGGAAATTCCAGTGATATTTGGTAATTATTTGCATTGTATGTGTGTTGCCTCACTGCTAGTGGTAGTGTGGGAGGGTAACACCAGCAGAATGTTTATTTGGAAGTTGGGTGGAGCAAGGATGGTATGAGGGCAGTGAAAAGCTGGGTCCAGAAATAGAGAAAATGCGGAAAGGTAAAAACAACGGAGCAGGATCTTCTGACAGGATGCCTCCATGCTGCAGGGATGCTGACCTGCAGACCCGAACCCACCCAGACATGGGGGGAGCCCCTTGGACAGCCCTGATGGACTCCCCATGGGCTCTCTGCCCAAACGATTGGGTGTGGGAGGGTGGAGTGAAGAAGGGAGGCTTGCACCCTGGGTGTAATCTGCAAGTTTTAAGAAGTATAATTAGTTTTAGAGTTGTGTGTGCTTGTAGTCATTTAATTACTGTTAGTTACTTAGTAGTGTATTCAGTAAATAAATGTTGTATTCTCAAGCCTGCAATCTAAAGGGAAGGGAGCTGGACCTGGGAAGTAAAGCTGCAAACAGCTTTTACCAAGCTTATACTGTGTGGCTGGCTGTTGCTGTGCGCTGACTCTCCTCTCATACCCACTCCCACCAACTTTCATAATAAAATCCTCTGACCCTTCACAATATGCACAATTCCTAACGTGAAACCTAAGAATCACAGCCATGAATAAACATAGGCTTAACTAGCAAACAGTTCCTGCTAGGGAAGAGGTGATCCAACATGTCTTTCCCTACCCCAGTCTTCCTTGCTGATGCTGGCTCCAGCTTCACCTGTGGGGGCATTGGTGGGGCCACACATGTGTTGACACAACCCCTTTTTAGCACATGTCAGTACTGAGCTGGAGGAACAGCCACCATCTGACGCCAGCCAAGCTGGAAGCCGTGCCATAGCCAGTATTTCTGTTCTGGGTCAGACAGATGCCTTGGGTAAGACAGAAAGACAGTGACAGCTGCATAAACCTAGGACAGGACAGATGGTTTTTGACCAGCTATTGTCCAGTAAAATTTTGGTGCAGTGTTTCCATACTGACAGAAACTGAAGTGAAACTGAATTAAACAAGGGCAGCATCAAGGTTGTGAGGTGGCAGAAGGGAACTATTAATCTCCAGAGAGTCCACCCACTGAGGAGTTATGCTGCATGAGGAGCTCCTTGGCACAGCTGGCAGGAACTAACATCTTCCACTTCTCAAAGCTGTCCAGGACGTCTCTACAAGGACCTCTTGAGAAGAAAGCAGCTTCTTGAATAGAAGCCAAGCAGGATGAAAGGAAGCTCTGCTAGAGATCACTAAGTGCCTGTTTAGCTTCAAATGGCTGCACTGCAGCTCGTGCAAACTCCAACGCCCTCAGCTGTGGGGAGGGACAAGTCATGATACTTGGAGGAGACTCTGGGAAGCCCAGCAACAACTGAGAATGCCATATTGAGGGAATGGCTGCTCACCTCACTCACATCTGATCTCATAACTGTCAAATAGCAAAAAAAAAAGTGTCCCCTGTCCATTTTCACATTTCACACCTCCATTATTGGCTGCCCACCTGCTTTAGCCACAGAATGAGCTGCATGAGAGAAGTGAAACATTTCCCCTTGCAGCCTCAGCACCAGTTAGGGTCTATTTGCAGAGTCTTCCAGATGTTTGTTGGTCTATTTGCAACACAGTTGGTGCAGGTTTGCAGGAACAGGTGGCAAAATTTACTGCACTGTGAATTACTGTATCATCCCCTTCAATTTTTTTTGAAAATTAAAAATACAGCTACCAACATTTGCTGTGCTTTTTGAAAGGTCTCTTAGAGCAAAACAATGCAAACACTCCAGTTTTTCAGAATTTCTGTCTGTACTATTTAGACCTCATCATCTCAAACAATATAATCTCCATTTTGCTTCTATATTTTTTTCCTGTCAGAGTAGCTCATCTTAAATTCCAGGAAAATGAAATGCTCAGGCAGAAGCATCCCAAACAGCCTCTTAGACGGAGACTGATGCAAAATGATAATTTGTCTCATTAGGAATCTTATTATTTGCTCCTGGTAATATCAGACGATTTTTTTTGGAGGCTTCATGTTTCTGATATACACATAAACCTAACTGAGATTGTGTAAGCATTTGCTCTTCACATTCCAGTTCAGCTCATGTAATTTTGTACACACCAACTGTGAGTGATTAGTTGCCCTTGTTTGTGTTAGGTCAAATTTCTAAATCATGAAGATACACTTTTGCTCAAACAGTGTCTTGAAAAATTTAATTTCAGCCATATTGATTTATTCCTTGCTTTCCTAGTGTCATTTTGTTCAGTGATATTCATGTCCACTAAATTATAATTTCTTCCAAGAGCATTTAAAAAAGCTTTATTTCTTTTAACTTTAGGACTTATCATTTAATTAGTCTCCTTTTCTTTTGAAATCTCTTTTTCTAAACATTAGTGGCAAAACATTACATTTTGGTATCTTTTCAACACTGAATGTAATTCTCTGTCCTGTGACTCTGCTACTGTTGCTCTAAGAATTACCTTCTGTGCATTATTTAAGAGATGCACATGTTTTTATTAATGTTCACTTATTCTAATAGTATCAATTTCAAAGTAGATTGAACCACAGTAAGATGCCACATAATTTGAAAAAATCTGTATCCTGAAAAAAAATTTAAATTTTAAAACACTTTATTGACAAGTCTTAAAAATCACTGTTTTTTGGGGGGGTCATTTAGAGCTACCAGTTGCTCCATGGGGTAGTATTAAAACTGACAAATTTTCCCTAGAGCAGCAGACCTGAGGCATACAGTTGCAGTACAACAACCCTGTAGCCTTGTCCCAGGAGATTGCTTGTTGGATGGTCCCGATTCCAAAGCCTACTTCTTCTAGGTCCAAACTCATGGAAGTTTTAAAAGAGCTCCTAAGAGTTTTCACCCTTCACGTGCAATAGCACATCAGTCTAACAAAAAACGTCCAAATGCAAGTACTTGCATTCAGGGTCCATTAACAATGATGAACGGCGGCTTTCACAAGTACAAGTTTAATCCAGTGAAGCTCATCTGCTGTGCCCCCTTTGCAGTTCATGGGGAAAGGCCAGGTCCTCCAGAGGGTGTTTTGAGAGCAGCTAGCTGGTGTCTGAAATCACATGACCAAAGACCCCACACGTTTCTTTGCATTAATCACAGAGCATCCCTCCTCCCAGTTTTTCAAATCTGTGTGTCTGAAATGGGGTCAACAGAAACCCCCTGTTTTGCAGGGTGCAGCACCCATGCTCCCACAGCCTGCTGCCTGCTGTTACTTCCACCACTCGCTCAGCGTGGAAAGGCTGGCCTGGCTGCCCTTAGCCGGGGCAGAGGAGGAAAGGATAAGCTTCACATCGGGTATGCGGGTGTGGAAAAGCATGGCTTTTGCTTTTCAGGGCACGAGGCATTCTTTCTAAAACCACGCGAATGGGTGCACTGTTCAGCAGCTTCCCTGGGGAGGCCCATGTGCTGGAGCAGCAGCATGGCTGCTGAGGACAGCGAGCTGAGCTCTGCGCTAGGGCTCTCCGGTTAATGAACTGACAGGTTATTAACTAAGCCAATACCAGCCTAATGGGAAATCTGTCTCTGGGTATGTTGCATAATTTTTATATTATTGAACCAACTAGGAATTGCTTAATCAACAAAGCCATCAGGAAACCCTCAAACAGCGGGAGAGTGACGGAACATGCACTTGTTTGCCAATGAATTTTGTTGCTCAAAGACTTTCAGGTTTCCTGTCCTGAACAGGGCTTTCCACTTCTTCTTGGGTGACATCTTCAGTTTCTCTCTGAGTTTGTGTGGTCAGCTATGGGTAATTGTGTCTACATCCACGACTTTCATCTTCATGCTTCCCTTGTGACCAGCTGCATTACAGGAGCTGTTGCTTGGTCAGCTTGGATCTCACTAATAATGACCACAACATCATTTGGACATGTATTTTCTGTTCAGGACTTAAGGTTTTTTCTGCATTGGAGTAGTTTTCTGACCCAGCTGTGACTGTTTTATATGAAAGATTAAATCTGAAGGCATGAGACATGCTTGCACTCTCTCATGAGAACTCTTGCATGAGAAAACTGTTTTTAAACTCCTATGTACATTTATTGATCCATTTCTATGCTTAAGTGTCCTGGTTTCAGCTGGGACAGAGCTCATTTTCTTCCTAGTAGCTGGTACAGTGCTGTGTTTTGGATTTAGTGTGAAAATCATGTTGGTAACACAGATGTCTTACTTGCTGCTGTCGCGCTTATCCTAAGCCAAGGACTTTTCAGTTTCCCATGTTCTGCCAGCAAGCAGGTGCACAAGAAGCTGGGAGGGAGCTGGGAGGATAGCTGACCTGAACCACCAAAGCGATATCCCTACCATATTCCATACCACAAAATGTCATGCCCAGTATATAAACTGGGGGGAGTTGGCAGGGCAGCAGATCACTGCTAAGGCATTGATCAGCAGGTGGTGAGCAACTGCACTGTGCATCATTTGTCTTTTCTTGGGTTTTCTTTCTCTTTTTATCTATTCCTTTTCATTACAATTATTATTATTTTGTTATTATTATACTAAATTTTATTTTATTTATTAAACTTCTTATCTCAACCCACAAGTTTTACTTTTTTCTCCAATTCTCCTCCTCATCCCACTGGGAGAGGGGAGGAGTGAGCTGGCTAGTTAGTTGCTGGCTGGGGTTAAACCCTGACATTAAATCAAAGTATGATTAATATGCCCGAATTTTAAAATAATTCTTCTAAATACTGGGGGTTTTCCTACTCCAGTCCTTTATTGGGCAGTGATCCTTTTCAGTTATACTTACTGGATGAGTGAAGTGCCATGAAACTGCAATTCATGGCCTGGCTTCTTTATTGTCTCATCTCTGCTTTCTAGGTAACTCAAGTGCAATCTGTTAACTCTTCAGAGTCAAGATATGGTCTGATATCTACACCCAAAATTCCACAAGCTCTGAGACACCCTGGAGTCCAGAGACAAAACATTTTTAATTCCTAAAACTACATAAACCTTACATATTCTCCACCGAAAGCTTCAAATTAGGAATGAATGTACCGTTAACTTTTTTAATAATATCTGGTTCAACAGACAAGCCAGCATATCCTGGTGATACCCAAGTTCAGATCAGACACTGCCACATTTCCAGACACAATCAGTGGCAACCTGTGTAAACTCTGAAAGGAGACAATACACTGAAGGAGATGGAGTAAATCAGAGATTTGCTTTTGATGTAGCCATATAACATCATGATAAAACTTCTATTTTTCAGTTCTTATGTGCAGAATATGTACTCCTCATTGTTGCATAATTTATTAAACCTTACCAACTTCATTTGACTCAAGAGGGAGTTTTGCTTTTAAAAAGAGGCTTGCATAAATTGAGACACCAAAATTAATTTCTAGAAAGAATCAATCAGTTTCTCTTAGTTCTAGTATGTCACCCTGCATTCTTGCCTTTGCTTCTTTTAGAAATGAAGAGTAAATGTTCTTATACTAAACAGAGAAATGTAAAAAGTATTGTTATGGGGATACAACTAAAATTTGTAAATGAGTTGTATGCGGTAATGACTTCTACTCACCCTTGTGTATCTTTTTGAAATGTGAAATCAATTTGAGACTTCTGCAATTTGTAATGTATTCACCTTTATTCCACATAACATTCAGATGCAATGTTGGAGATTTAAAAAAAGAAAATTAAATTTTATTTAGTTTTTCTATATATTTCTGTTCAGAGGAAGAGTTTCTAACATTAAAAAAGTAATAACTGGTAAGTTTAACTGATAGATTGACTAGTTAGCATGAACTTTTAACTAAATTGTGATGAGTAATGCTGATAGACAGGTTGCAAATACCATACAGTTACTAAAAGGAACTAAAACATCTAATGCTAAAACTATGATGGATTCCTTAAAAGACAAGGCCATGTAAACAGTTACGTAAACAGCTCTTTCAATCTAAGATACTACATATTAGAAATTATTTTAAGACTGTTTTGTAAAGCCTTTACTTAAGACAAATAAAAATAGACTACAAATTAAACACAGAGTCTGATTCTTCAAGCCTGATGGCCAAATCTTCTCTGGCCTTCAAAGGAGTTCCTTCCTGGATGTACTTTCAGGATAACTTCTTCTGAAACAGGTTCATAATTCTATGTTAACTCTTAATCAATCATTTAATTTCTCTTTTTACTACACACACATGGAACATAGTTAATTTAAAAATAAGCATATCTATTTTCCTTTTTCCTCTGAAGTTCACACCAAAACTTATATTAAAAAGTAAAACTTGAAATCCTGTTTTTAGTAACTTACTGCTGAAAGCAGATACTGCCAATTGCACAAACCCAGATACACATGAGCAATGAGGAATTCTAGATGCATTAAAGCTAAATGAATTGATTTTGCCAAAAGAAAAACCAAACAGCTTGTAGTAAGCAAGTAATTAGTAAACAAAAGAAACCACAAAAGTAATAAAAACTATCATAAAGCTATTAACATTACACAGAATAAAATGTTAAATAATAATCTCCTTTCTAAAGTAAACATGAATTGCCAAAATATTAACAGCAACAAGTAAAAGGCAGCCTTGCATTCAAGCCTTTGTTCCAGAGCGGGAACAAAGCACACTTTGGGTGAACACACACTTTTGTGACATAGAAGTGCTTTGCTCAATTGTGTCTTTTTCTTTGGTGACGTGAAGCTGGCTGCAGTGCTCGGATGCCAGTCCCACTGCCCCACCTTTGCTCCTGTGAGCTCTCTCTCAGTCATAGCTCCCATCCCCAGAAGCAGCAAGCAACTTCCAAATGCACAAAGTAAACCAGCTATCTTATTTCTTGTTGCCCACAGCACAGTGCATGAGTTCAGATTGAGTGGGGTGGCTGAGGCATTTATTGCATTGCATTTCATTTGGATTGTTTTCTGGGGGAAAAAGGATCCTTGACGGTCACTGGTGCCTGAACTTCCAGACAGTCTCAGGTCCCCACACAGGGATGCTCTTGTTCTGGTGGGTGACCCTGGGTGCATGTCCACAGAGGACAAGAATACAAGCATTTTCTATTTAACACAATTTAAATTAAAGCTCTGAGTGGAGGCTGTAGAGAGAAGAGCTGCTTTGCTAGCTTCCCACTCTATTTCCCTAGGAGAGACCACTGCACTGAGGCTCAGGTAGGAGGACCAAATACTTTCTCTGTAATCTCAGTACTCCTTAGGTGGGATCTTTATGGTTTCCTAATGCAGACTCTCCTGTCTCTCCTCGGAGTGAGGGCTGCTCTGATGTCTATCTACCATGGAAGGTTCTGCTCTTCTCAAGACTCCCCCCACCAAAACCCAAAGAAATTACAACAAAACATCTCCCGTTGAGCTTATATACAACTTTGAGAATAACATAGCTAGTGTCATGCTTAAAAGGGATGGATACGTCCTCACAGAGTGGTGAGATTTCTTGTTTTTCTTGAGACATTTCCCTATTCCATCTTTTGAGTCTGTTATCACAAACCTGTCTTGAAAGGTTAAGCTTTTACCCCAGCAAAGACAAGTCAGACATCTGAGAGGGGGAAAGAGGAAGAACCTTGAGAGCTTTACAGGATAAGTCTATCTCCTATATATTGTGGCCAACTAGGAAGACTCATCTGGACCTGAGACTATTGGCTTCTAAGGTAGTAAGAAAGGAAAAAATGTGCAACGTGCACAGCTGTGTACACATAGATGTACACTCTGTTATAGCCAAAAAATGTTCATCTACAGTTGCTAAATGGGTCTTTTTTTTAATCTATTCCTTGTTTTACTGTTTAAGATCCTATGTCTAACTTTGCATTTTGGAGTCATAAATATTTGTATTTACTTTTTCATTGGACTTATTACTCCCCCAACCCTTGCTTATTATAAACTTGAATTCCTGAGATACTGCAGCATTCCCTGTCACAACCTTTAGTAAGATAAAGCAACTATTTGCTACACATTCACCTTCTGCAATACAATTAAAGCAAAATAGTTATGACTCAAATTGTAACTACCACTGTTTATAACTGAATGAGGATTTTTGCTTTGCATTCATAGTATTTGTTGAAGAGGTCTGAGAGACTCAATGCACATTCATAGATCAATGTACAGCTTTTAAAGCCTGTATCAACAGTCTTGTATTTCCAGTTTAATATTATCATCATGAAGGTAGACAAACCAGATATCCACACAGGATCTGGTGGAATCATCCATCAAGAACTAGCACATGAGCAGTTCACAGTAATGAGGGCATGAACCATATGAATTTTCTTTTCTGATTTAGGATAACTTGATTTGCATGGATTGTGCAAGTGATTTGCCTTTTGGACTTCTGTCCTTGTCAGAGAAAGAGAACTGCTATGTCAGTGGCTGAGATGATGTCTACTCTTCCAACAGGGTATGATACTGCTGTGATGTTCCTGCCAGTGGCCACTATTAAATCCTGCATATCTTGTATGCTACAGTGCAGGGTCAGACTCCACAGAGGAGTAAACAACACTATTGCCTAGAACAAGAGTATTTCCGTATGGAGGTCAAAAGTGATAACAGTTCTGTAAACCAAACTGATCGTACTAGAACAATACAAAATCATTGCATTAGAAACTGGGTTAATTAAACTACAGTAACAAAAAAAGAAGAGTATTTTTGATTCAGCCATTACGTAAACAGCACAGACAAACTCCCCTAAATAACTACACTTATAGAAAAAAAACAAATGGACTGCTTTAAAAAGGACTTTTCCCAGCTTGCTTCCACACTTCTTTGGCTCCTTTAATGCTTTCTCTCTTCACACACTTCCAGTAACCTTGAATGCCTTGCTGTTGAGGTACCTGTTAATAAAGTTAAAGCATGTTTAGCATTTACACAAAAAAGACTTATTCACAGATTGTGTAAATATAATATGTAATGCAGTGCTGCTGCTTCCATAGTTCACATGCATAATAACAAGTTCTTGGTGGCAGCACTCCTCCCAGGAGTATTCAGTTTAAAATATAAGTTCTTGCTATTCACTATCTCTACTTGTGTTTCTACAAGTATTAACAAGATAGCTGTAGCAGTCATCTGTGGTATTTAAAAAAAATGATGTCAGATTGTTACCCTCAAACCTCGATGAATTCGGTTCCTCAGGACTCCAAGAAACTCGCCATGGCTGAGGCAGTCGTCTCCATCTAGATCAAAAATCTTGAAGATGGTATCCAAAACATTATCCGAGAGCTCCTGTCCTGTTGCTACCTTCACTGCTCTCTTGAACTCAGCTAGTAAAGACATAATATTATATGACTGGTGACTGTGAACTTGTAAAGAAATTGGAAAGCACATAAATAGTAGGATTCTGTGCAATTTACAATGTCTCATGGGTATCCTAATGAGAATTTGGGACATGTGAACTAGTAAATTAGGAGACCTAAGTTCATGCGTTCTCGAGCTTGCTTCATCTTTCATAACACTAGCTTTATTAATTGTATGACAAACTCTTGAAATGCACGACTCAAGCAACAGCATTTTTGCTAGAAGTAGCTGCATGCTGAAAACTTACGTCCTTTTGGCTGTGTGCACACACTTGTGCATACGGATGATAAGTGTTTGCCTCATTATGGTCTCATTAAAAATACTACCATTTTATCTTGCACCATTTTCATGCCAATTCATTCTGCAAGAATACTCTTCTTATCAGAGAACAGTATTTTATGATATTCTCCACCTCAATCAACAATCCCCTCAGCAACTCCATAGAAACACAGACTGTCAAATACTCAACACACTGTTTACAGCACATGGATTTATATACCTGTAGTTCTATTTTTTAAAGCAGTAAGCTACCCTCTCTTAAGTTATGATTGAAGAGTTTATGAGGATTTATGGCAGAAAAAGCTGTCATACCTCTCTGGAGATCTACTTTCCTCTTCAGCTTTTTGGTTTGCTTTCTTTACACCACTATGTGCATTACAGTAATACCTACGATCCCCACTTTTGGTCTTGTAGTGTAAAGAATTTAGAGTTTTCATTCAAGGAAGATGAGGAGATGTGTGGGGTTGTCATAAAACAGCAGATAGTAACAGTGAAATGATTATTGTTTATTACAGCAAGCACAATCACAACACATGAATTGGATGCATTTCTGAAGTCATCACAGAAGTGTGAATTTCAACAAGGGACTGCAGGTTACTGAAGTATAGCTGTATTGTAGATTATTACAGCAAGTTGTCCAAGTAAATACAGTTATTACTATATACTATATAATACTAGATATAGTAATAACGTGGTTCTGCTTTCATAAACAAGCGCTGTTTATAAATAGTGCTATAAATATTAATTCTGAAGCTTAACAGAGTAAAGGGCACTCCTGACTTAGTTCTCATCTTTGCCTCTTTGAACAATTCCTGTATAAATCGAGTTGATTAATTTACAGTTGGTTTAAATATAATTAAGTGGAAAATCCTTCTGTAAAAGGATATACCACAATTTGGAAAGGACATGAAATATGGGATGCTTATAAAAGTCTTAAGTTTGTGATGTTAAAAGATGTTAACTGTTTTAGCTCTTGATGCTAAATATAAATCAGAGATGGCACTGCACTTTTTTGAACAGAATATGAAGAAAAGGAGAAAGATCTTCTAAAATGATGGATCATAATAATCTTCAAACCAGGAAGGGCCACCTTATCAGAGAGAAAAGATAAGCTGCTAACTTAGAATGGAAAAAAAAAAAAAAGAGAATAAAAGGAAGGAATAAAGAACTGTCCTATTTTTAGATAAATACTCATATGTGTGTGAATACACACATATACACACATGCAAACAGTGAAACAAAGAACTTAAAGGATCAGACATGTATACATGTAACATCCGTGAGCTACCTCAGGAGCTGACTGTTTTCAATCATAGTATGGTTCAGTGCATAAACAGAGTCAAAACTGTCTGTTGGGTAGGAATAAATGTTTACAGGGAAACATTATCAGAGTCAACACCAACTGCTGGCCTCATCATCCTCTGGGACTTAAAAATGGGATACTTAATAGAGAAGTGAGCTAAACTCCTATACCTTACTTAGGACTATTATTTCACCACTAATTCATCCTCTTACCTCTCTATTCTTTGTACCCCTTGTACAAATAAAATCTATCTCCCCCCTGAGAAGAAAGATGTCAAACCAGACAGAGGAAGGGCATGAACCCAGCTGGGAACCGGAGTACATGATGGAAGAGAAGCTGAGGGAGCTGGGGAGAACAGAAGTGTAAAGGGGGATCTTGCTGCAGCCTTCAACTGCCTAAAAGGTTATACAGAGAAGAGCGTGCCATATTTTTCTCAAAGGTGCACATAGGTAAATGTGTTTTACCTCACTGTAAGTTGCACCAAGGGTTTGACACAGAAGATAAGTTTTCACGAAGCACTACAGCAGCTGCCCAGAAAGGCTGTGGAAATGAAATTCTTCCTGAAGCCTGGACTAACTAGTGATGAGTCACAAGTTGTAACTCCCCCAGTTTTGGCCTTCTTTGGTTCAAATCCCATCCAAACATTTCTCTCAAGAATACTGAATTATCTTCCTGTCTTCTCATATTTCTCTCATCTTTTTCACATGATCCCATCAAATATTTATTTCAATGAATGTTAATGTGTCATCAAATTTCCTTAGGAACTTTTTATGTTGCTCTTTTCAAATAAGTTATGAGAGCTGTCCTTCAAGTACAACAAGTAAGTAACAACCTCAGGATTATTACAAAAAGCATTTGTATGTCCACAAAACTTCTGTTGCATTGCTCCTATTTCTGATATATGGAAAGGAAACAAATTCCCTCCTCCAAATCTTTATTTCGAAAAACACTTCACTACATTGTATTTTTTCATAGTCATGATCACATAACACTACATAAGCATATGGAGAAGGCAGTATGGAGGAATAAAACACAGCAAGATGTTGCAGACCCTGCAGAAGAAGAGATTTCTATTGTTTAGTTTCCTCAAAAAACTGGTTTCACTATAAGGAAAAAGCACTGTTATCATGAACTGCTACTAAAGCATGTATTGTTTCAATAAATCCTTCCTAATCTAGAATTTAGATTGGACTGAGAGTGGCCCTGTGGAGAAGGACTTGAGGGTACTGGTGGATGAAAAGCTGGACATGACCCTGCAATGTGTGCTCGCAGTCCAGAAGGCCAACTGTATCCTGGGCTGCATCAAGAGCAGTGTGGCCAGCAGGCTGAGGGACGTGATTGTCCCCACCTCTACTCTGCTCTCGTGAGACCTCACCTGCAGTCCTGTGCTCAGCTCTGGAGTCCCCAACATAAGAAGGACATGGACCTGTTGGAACCAGTCCAGAGGAGGCCACAAAGATGATCAGAGGGATGGAACACCTCTCTAGTGAAGGAAGGCCAAGAGAGTTGGGAGTTAGTCAGCCTGGAGAAGAGAAGGCTCCAAGGAGACCATACTGCAGCCTTTCAATATATTAAGGGGACTAAGAAGACAGTGTGAAACTTTTCACCAAGGACTGTAGTGACAGCACAAGGTGAAGTGGTTTCAAACTGAGAGTAGATTTAGACTGAACATAAGGAAGAAACTTATTACTGTGAGGGTGGTGAGACACTGGCACAGGTTGCCCAGAGAAGCTGTGGCTGCCCCCTCCCTGGCAGTGTTCAAGGCCAGGTTGGACGGGGCTTTGAGCAACCTGGGCTAGGGGAAGGTGTCCCTGCCCATGGCAGGGGGATGGAACTAGATGATGTTTAAGGTCCCTTCCAACCCAAACTGTTCTATGATTCTATGGTTTAGTCTGCTGTCAGTGGTCCAGCATATGAAAGAACATTAGAACTTACATATCAAACAATTTTTGGAACTTTATATTATTATTTTTTTATTAAATAGAATTAATTCAGAATAAAGAGCACTATACTATTATTTGGACTTCACAGTGCTACTTTGGGATACTTCTGGATAACTTACATTAATTCCATAACAAAAAATGCATTTTTTTCTTTTTTAAAAAAATACATACAAAAGGTGTGCAGCACTTACCCCGTTTAACAGGTCGATTGGCTACAGTAAACATCTGCATGGCAATAGAAAAGTCTTCCAGGTTATTTGTAAACTTGCAAAAAGTCTTGAATTCTTCCAAACTGATATTCTAGAGTACCACAGAGTTCAGATGATACATAATGAATAATACATTCAAACCCCAGGAAATCTATTTTATTAAATCTGGTGGGACCTAGTGTTTACGTGTGATTGCCTACTCATCATCAATATTTGTATTTCTCAGTTGGCAAATTACCATTGTTCTTATTTGCATAAAATTCAAGGGCTGCAATAATTAACTTGGAAGCTAGTTACATTATTAGATCCTTGTATTCAAATGAAAACCTGTATATACAAATGAAGAATCAAAACAAAGCATGCTCTATGTACCAACCTCTCCTGCCTCAAATCTGTCTTTCACATTCTGCCAGTAAATTTCATTGTTTTCCTCATCAGTGAAGTACAGTAACCATTCTGCAAAGTCTTCTTTTCTCATGACGTTCAAACCCTTTGAAAACTTTATGAATTCCATTTCTTGGACTTCTGTTTGCAGATTTTCCATGAATCTAAGTGTAAACAGATATTATCCAACAGTTGATACTTGCATCACTGTATCACTGCTACTACCTTAGTTACTAAATGGAGCAGAAACTATTAATCACAGATACTGTCAATATCACTGTTTAAAATATCACTGGTTTAATTTTACCTGTGCATGTAGATTTGTTTCTGCTGCTGCATTTCAATAATGGCACCAGTAGGGTGCTCTCTAAGTCTGCACAGATGGCTGCTGCTACTATAATTTACAGATACACTTGGCATCTAGTTTTGACTAATGTTAAAAATGTGCAGATAATGAGATAAAATAATTGGTAAGGCAGTATTATAATGAATGAATGAAAAAGGACATGGTAACTAAAGGCCTGACATGATTTATGAAATTTCATACTAATAAGAGAGGAATGACAAGGTTGGAAAGTGCCTAGAAAGATGAGGCTCTAATAATCACAACGGTGAAACAAAAGAGGAAACTTGAAATCATGACTGCAGAAAATGATGACTAAAAGCCTCAAAGATCGTAACTGCAAAGAGAAGTTTGGCAAATCAGTTCTGCGCTCACTACAGGATGGATTAGAGAGGATTACAATTGACACATACAGAGTTTGAAAGAGCACAGAAAATGATGTTGCAGCTGTTTGGGAAGGTAAGAAGAGAACTGTCTGAAAAAGGAAGGGGTGAACATCAAGACTTTTAGGAGACACCCATTCTTTTAGGAAGAAAAAAAAAAGCAGCATGAGAAGCAAGTAACAACCTGCAGGTACACAGCTTAGAACTGTAAGGAGAGTTGTAGCTTTGTTCCCCCAGTTTGGTCTACATGGCCATTATAATTTCTTCTGGGTAATATTAATTTTGAGAAAGTAGAAGACAATACTGTGCAATCCATTTGGTAATTTCCATTTCAGAAATGGGGCAATCCAAAAGCAAGTGATAATTTAAAAATATAAATAAAGGTTAAAAACACAGTGATGCTTTTCAGAATCCCTTTGGTACTTTGAAAGAACCCTGTATTATGGAGTTGCAAAAATTACTGACAGGAGAGAATGAAATACTCCTATATTGGGACAAAGCAATTAGTTGGAGAAGAGGACAGCTAAGGTCTATGTAGCAAATACCAGTAGAGGCTCATTTGCTCATCAGTGTTTGCATGGCCTCACTGGGTTTGAATTCTTCCCCCTGAAATTACAGCATTTTAGTCCGCACAGCTATCTTTAGTTCTTTAATGAGATCACTTGGACAATTAGTAGCTCGAAGGTCTGTGAAGTCTGTAAGGGGTTAGCTGAAGACTGCTGTTACAGCATTAAGTGCTCTCTTGAATTTTTTCCTTTAATAATTAGAGCTGCACATGCAAATAAAGGGCCAACAAATGCTTCACAGCTCAGGATATGCAGGTAGATGAAAGCCTGACAGTGGACATGATTTTAGGTTTCAGGCTAGAGTTTTATTAGGGTAATACTGAGAAGGGGTACGATATGCTCTCACATTTTATATGGCATTTTTCTGATCCAGTAAAGGGGTTACAAGGCTTCCATAGTATAGTCAAACACTGAGGCATATTCCTCCACAGTCCACCTTAAGACCTGGCTCACTTTCAAGTCCCCTGACTCTTCCTCTCACATGGGAATGAAACACCTGTGTCACCACCATGAAGGGGAAGCCCCTTGTCTTACAGACCACTGAGCGCTGACTTGCACAGTTTGCAAAACTTTGCAGTTTTCAGACACAGCTCCTGTCCTTGTAACTCATGAGATGACTGGCTGGCTCTGGCCAGCCCAGCAGTCAGCATGTGCAGGGGAGACTGGCCAGCGTGGGCTGGCAGAAACAGTCCTGCCACAACCCCACAAGAGTCTCCCTGGATCCTGGGAAGTGAGGTCTGTCTGCAGGGGGAGAGGATGGCACAGGCATATGGAGCCAGTCCAGCAGAGGCTGACTAGGGCCACTTGGCTGCATTTTGGGAGTGGCCAAAGGCAAGAAGTAGATGGTATCTGGGATGTGCGGCTTGTGTTTGGCTGGAAGTCACAGCAGAGACCATGTGGAACAGTAACTGCATCTCTGACTGTTGTTTCCAACCCATGTAACGTCTGGTCTGAGGGAGAACAAGCTGCTGAAAATGAGGCCACTTACAGAAATATGCCTAAAACATGGATGTAGGGAAACAAGACACCATGCGTTTTATTTTCTTGGCTTTAATCTATGAAAGGTGGACACATTTTGCAACAGACTTAAGGTCTGTTATTGAAAGTATGAGTTATTTATCTTGGGGAGCTAACTCTCATTTGCTTTACTGGTCAGTAGCCACAGCTGATGACAAACGACACATTCATCCATCTTATTCTAAATATCACATCTCCTTAAGCAGAAAACCCTCTGTGACCTGCCTTCTAGCCATACCCAATAAAGGCAGAACAGCTGAAAGACCAAGCACTTCTACATGCTGAGGAAAGAGTGGATGCCCCACCTAGATGCACACATCACCCAGCTGAAAGGTGCAGCAAAGCCAAAGAGGAAAGTGAAGGGTTTGACTGTGGCATTTTTGATGTGTTCTTGTCTCTGCACCTTCTTCTAGTTGGACAGCAAATGAAGTGAAATTTCCCCAGCCCCACTGTGGGTTTTCCATTGCCTTTTCTCGGGCTTGGGTTCTTGCCCTCTCCAGTTGCTTTGGGGCAACAACACCGCACCCTTCCTGTGGCACAAGAGTCATGCATCTTGATGCACTATGCAGATTAGAAGAGGGAATTGGGAATTACTTATTTAAGTACAAGAAAAATTAACAGATATTTCATTTCAACTTGTAGGCTTGCTCCTGGCAAGCCAGAGTAGGAAGACTTCCTGCCATACCAAATGCTACTTAGAGCAGCAGCTGAAATATGCAATTTAAAATTTATATGTGATAGCCTCCCATATTCCAAGAATTAAAATACTATGAATCATCACATCAGCATTCTAGGTCACTCTTATTCCCAGATGTGAGAGTTAAAAATCCTAATGAGGTTTTTTTTTTTAAGTGAAAGTTATTAAAACTTATTAAAAATAACTTTCTGGTTAGAAAGTAAAACTTGATACTTAAATGCCAAGACACCGCTAGGGATACTTGCTTTTGTATCTTCTGGATCTCAGTGCGATGAGTTTCAGCTGCGAATTCCTTAAAAAATTCTCCAGACATTAGGAAAAACAAGAATAGGAATGAAATTCCTGCTCTCTCGAAGTCAGTGGGAGTTTGGCTGGGGACTTTGAAGGGAGCCAGAATTCAGCTACGGGAATGGGACTCTGATTGTAGATGTGCTCTACAATTCAAAAATAATTAGACTGGTAACAATCTCACGCTATAGTAGCTTGAAAATAAAAGCAAACCTTAATTTTCCAAATAACAAAAAGCAAAGGTAACTCACAGATTTATAAGATGGAGAAAAAGCTGGGAACAGGCAGTACCTTCTTTAAGATAGCCTGGTTTATCCACACTGTCTAAAACACCCACGTTGAAGGCCAATGGCCAAATTCGTTATCATGTTACAACAGCATCCAGAAACCTTATCAGGATTTATCCCTCATTTTGTAATGTGCTCTATTATAGAAAGAGGGAGTCTCTCAAGACTTTCTGGCAACTCAGTTTTAATAGAAGTGAAAATGTAATAAAAGTGGGGAGACCTCAGGAATGCAGCTATTCCCCCTCTGACCTGAAATACTGCAATGAAGTGCTAGCGTTGTATTCCTTATGGCACACAAAGAAGCAGAATGAAATGCAAAAGGAAAGGTTAGGGAAAGTTTTCTTTCCTATACCTCTTGACCTGAACTGGAAGTCTGTGCAAAGCTTTAACACTCTAATACAGAACTGACCAGTTCTTGTCACACTGATTTATAGGAAGGAAAATTAACAAAGATAGTGGTGAATATACCACCCTGGCATTTGTGCTCTGCTTCAGCTCCTCTTTGGACACTGGAGTCCTTTTGAAGACTTAATAACCCTCTCTGCACCAAAAGAATGTTGCAAACCAGCTGCAAGGTCGCCTTTTTGCAATCTGACTTTCAAAACAGAATATAGGAAATTTAATAAGGGCTCGAACATTGACCTTTAGAGAACATTTAGATCTATGCTTATAAATTCAGTTTTGCAAGCAGTAAGACAGTTAATCAATCTCACCATTTTCAGAACTACAGGCAAAACTCTCTTTGATTTACTGTCCTCAATGTTTCCAAACCAAACAAAAAAACCCCTACTCACTTTCATTTATAAGCATTCTGTAGAAACTAATCAAGCTATTCCTTTGCTAGGTATATAGGAAAGGAAGAAACAAAGATTCTTCTCAACATCATTACTAAATACTTGGGAAATATTCAGATCCAGTTATGATAGGAATACACAATCATGAAGCCAGATTTTGTTCCCATCTCCACTTCCTCACTGTTTGATCCTGGTTGCACAAGATGTAATCTCTATGTGTATTAGGGCTCTATATACATATACAAACACATACACACATGTGTAGGTACAAAGACAAATAAGGAGGGAACCATATTCTATACCTGCAAAGCACTTTTAAATCCCTAGATAAAAATCACTCAAAATGTACAAGCTATTGTCACAGCAAAAGCACCACTGGCTGACGATGCTAACTGAAAGAGATTCTGCATCCAGGCATTGGCACGAACACAGAACAGCACCAGACAAATGTCAGCATTAGCAATGTGGTTCAGACCAGATCATTCTGGTTTCTTAAATGAAAGGTTTCAAGTGAAATGTACCATGGAATTCAAAATACTGAAGGAAAGAAACATGACAGGTAGGGAAAAGGCAAATTTTGTGTATGGTTATACAATTTGTGACCTTTAAGCTAAAGCAGAAAATAAAAAAGAAACTATGATTGAAGTATATTTCTGGTGCAAAATTCTATTAACTGATGAGAAGTTTGGAAGCAACAAATCAGATTTAAAAAAATGCCATAAATTGGATTTGAAATATTAATTTTCCTCATATGGTTAAAAGATGCCCATTGTTTAACCATACCAGGAAGTATTTTTTTGTAAGCCATCCCAGGAAAAAATAAAACAATCAAAGTTTTTTGAATATTCTTCCCGTACTCTCTGTACTTTTTTTTTTTTTTTTTGTTTTCCCTTCAAGGAGATTGTGAGAGATTTAAGATTGCTTAGGGACAGATTACAGAAAAAAAAAATCATAGCAGTCGTAAACTGTTTAGGGAGTGAATTACTGTCTCCTCTTTTATTTGGGATTAGACATACTTAAACAAGATCAGTAAGGGACTTTTTTTCAGGGAAAAAAACAGTGGCTGTCAAGAAGAAATACTTGCTATACCTAGAAAACTACATAGTTTTCTACTCAGAATAAAAAACAGTATATACAATATAGCTGGAAATTAAAGAACAAGTCAAACATTTTTTGTAAGGAAAAGACCAAAAACTATTTAAGTCTCAGAACACAGGGGAAACCCATGCAAAAGAATAAAAAACCTGAAATCCTGGACAGCTTCTGGCTTTATGTTTGAAATCTGACATTCTCTAAGACAGGCCCTGGTATTAGAAGACAACACTATTATTGAAGTGTAAAACTGAGTGGTGGCCATCTGAAACAGAAATTTGTTCATGTCTTCCAAGAAGAAAGTCAAGTCTCACCTGGTTACAGCTTCTTGTATTAAATCTACCCTTCTTTACATGATTTTAGGCTTGCTGCATATTGTTTCATATTTTCTTAAACTGATACAGGAGAATAATGATTCAGGCTGCATTTGACTAGGAGGCAACACTGATACTAGTGATGTACATAAACATACTCCAGAATAACTTAAATTTCCTAACTTTTGCCTGGGAAACAAGCTGTTGCTTTTGAAGTTGTGGATTTTTAATAATAATTACCATATTGTCCTTGTGTTATGGACTATACAACTGGCAAAAAATCATGTACAGCAATCTGGAGCTGAACATGTGTTCTTTGAGTCCTACCTTAAGATCTCTGAAATCACCATGTTACTATGGGAAAGACATAGGAAGCTGTGCTTCCTTGGTTGCTTCCAGTACTTCCAAGCAGTCCCTGGAGGAGCTGCAGAATGAAGTGGGAGCCTCACTAGTGCTGCACAATAGAGAAATGAAAAGGAGGAGCTTGGCTGATACTTTGACTATGTTCTATAGGACAGTGAGAAAAGAGCTTGACTGGCGTCACAAAATAGCTATGAACTTCCATGTGCCCAACAGGCCAAGAAAGGTTGAGAAGTGATCTGATATTCTGTTTCACGGTCTCACTCTTTATGTCTGGAAAAACTACCCTGAGGATTGTCCTTGCGTGTATCACCTACCTATTGATTTCCCAAGAACCATGCACCAGCTGGAAACAGAGGGAGCAGAGCATACTTAACCATTTTCCCTCCCTATATCACTGTGTCTCTGGTGTTCGGGGCAGTAGGAGGGGAGGCACAAGAGCTGGCTTACATCAGCTCCACGTTGCCTGAAGAGATGTAGACTGTTTCCATTTTCTGTGTGCCATCTGAATGCAAAGAGAGGAGAACAGGGCAAATTAATTGCCCTGATATATTGACTGTGGCTGTCTGACATCTTTTAAATGTTTGGACTGTGGTCTAAAAGGGTTGGACATCACTGGTGTACATGTAGATACAGATGGCTGCACACTTAGAAAAAGATTTTTTAATGTCAGCCAAACTGAAAAAGAGGAAGCATGAGGAAAATATATGTAAGTAATGAGGTGAGAGCACTAGTCTCAGCTTTCTGAATTCCCATGTAAGTACGGTGAAATTTCACAAAGAAAGCATTCCTGCTTTTTTTTTTTTTTTTTTAGTTTCAAGGACCCTACAGCACTGCAATATCTGTGTATTTAACTAATGTGACAAGTTTTAGTGTGTCCTAATCGAACCTAATCACCCCTACTTTCTATTAGGTACTACACTGATCAATGGAAAAGCTTTCTAGGCAACAACTTGGAAAATGATAAAAGCATTTACCACCATTATTTTCTGCTTTTGACAATGATCTATGTCTGTACAGCTCATCAGTCATCTCTTGTAAAAACAGTGTGGCACTTTGATCAAACAGCCAACAACAGCTTCCCGCGTAAGGTAAAATGTTATGAGGGGCCATCAGATAGAAATCACATTTTCTCCGAACAATAGAAACCCAGAAATGATGTGCTTGATTTACTTGCAAATAAAATAATGTGAAAGGTGATATCTTTGCAGAGGTTAAAAAGACAGTGATCCTTTTATTCACCTTTCTGTGTGTTAAACAAACTTCACTGTCATGTTGCAAATGAGATAGAGTGTCTACACAGTGATAAAGAGGTACATTCCAGCTCTACGAAACATAACTGCCACTGTTGAAAAATTACCTGCATTAAACCTTACACTTATCCCACAAATTTTAAGAGCAAGATGTGGGAGTTTGATTTGGATTACAGGCCTCTATCTGTGTGGTAGGCAAAGGTCTTTAACCTATGCGTTCTGAATGTACTAGGTACATAGTTTCATCAATGTCATGCCTCAGTGGGTCAATGTAGGATTTTATCTAAAACCTGAGACTTTTCAGTTTACAGTGTATATGCAAACACAACCTTTTACTGGTGCTCTCTGCCTTTTGTTTCATTGAGACAATCTATGGTATTTACAGAAAAGAGAGCTGGAGGCATATTAAACTTATTTTACTTAGATTCCAAATGAGGCAAGGTCTTCAAAAGAGAAAGGTTGTTTATTTGAAGACCACTGTATGTCAGAGCCAGTGCAGCTGAACACCTTTTAGTGTCTGAATAATCGCCTCTCTTCCTTTTCTACTCTGGATTTCCCAGACCTCTGTTGATTGGAACAACATTCATTTTTAAGAGGGGTGACGAAGATTCTCTGCTTCCAAACATAAACTGAAGCAAAACACATTATCCTAATTTATTTTTCCAGTCTGTAAATGACTGATAATTTTTGTAGAAAGACTGATCTTTCTACATCTTCTCATCCTGTTGTGCTAGAAGACAAGATTCACACAAGTATTTAGGAACTTAACTTCCATTTGTCTCAAAGAAAGACTGTGCATTTGGATTCTGGGCCCAAGTTCACAGAGCAAGATGTGTCTGGAGTTCATACTAACAGGAGAAACTGATCTCTCAAGTAACAGAAACTGTTTTAATCAGTTAAGTTGTGATGCTGTGTAGGTGGTGGTCATTACTGATTCAAATAAACGTTAGAAGAAAGAATCTCATCCAGTTAAAACACTAACAGGTGATGTCTGGTTGGGTTTTCAAGTCAAAACCAACCATAGCAGAGCTTCATACTCTGATGCAGACAAGGATTACACCATCTTTCTGATGTGTATATGACATATGAACTAAATGATTACCTACACCAGTCTTAGAACTTTTTATTAACTTCTGATTTTTCAAAGCTTACAGTGAAATAGATTGAAATAGAATCATAGATTGAAATAGATTGAAATAGATTGAAATAGAAATAGATTGAAATAGAAACATACTGTGCTATGTTTCCAGGAGTAATGACCACTGCAGTTTCAGTCTGATGCACTGTTTACCATCTGGCTCAATTCTCAGTTGACACAAATGCCACAAAGTATCTGCACAGTCCCATTGCAAAAGGAGTTCAAAGGGTAAAGGAAAAGGCACAGGGGAAGTTTCAAACAGAAGCTGGAATTTGAAGCAAGCAGAGAAGTTGCCTGTAGCCTACCATGACAGCTGCAATGGGGAGGGGGTTGTCTCAGCTCAGAAAAGTTTTTTTAATTGACCAGCAGTCATGTTTTTGGTGACGTGATCAAGAAAAATACTCATTAATCATATTGTCTTAAGGTATGCCATCACACAGCTACCTAGAATGGTAGTCTCAACCCTCACAGCCTCCAGGCCCACTGCTGCTTTGGAGTTATCATGGTGCTCAACTCTTTCTTTAGACAGCAGACCCCAGGAGCAAAACTAGAAATTTAATAATGCAAAATCATGAATAATCTCCTGCTTCATTACATGCTTAACTTTTTGAACCAGATCAGTGTGAGGTCAGAGTGATGCCAGTGCTGGTGCAAAGTAGAGGGGGTAGGAACAGGACTGGTTGCTGTTAGGTTTGGCTAGCCAAAAAAATACCTGAAAAACTCAGAATAGCGAAGTTTTTCCTTTCCTTCTTTTCCAAAGAAATGTACCAGCAACATGGTATTAACAGCACAGCTTTCCAGTTCTCCCTATAAAACAAAAACTGCATGATTAGTTATTACTGTATGATTATTAATATCTATTCACCACAAATCTAGAGATACTTATTTGAACTGGAATTTCACAAGACTTATTTGCAATTTAATTACTGTTCCCAAATCTATCACACAGGATCTCAGAGCTGAATAATTCTTCCACATCAACTGGCTATTATATGTTCTGCTTCTGAATATTCTGTGTGAAAGATGAGTAAAATTTACAACCGCCTTTCCATGTATTTTATTATTAGAAATGAGAAGATTGATAGTTAAATCTTTAAAAACCTTTATGAGTAGGTGAACAGAGGCTTTACATGATGTTAACATCTTTGTAAAAAAGTTCAGTCAGGTATTTCTAATTTGTTGCAGCCATTTAAAAGCATTCATGATAGCCTAATAAACGAAAGTAGAAAATACAAACATTCCTAGTGCTCTATTATAATATTATCTTCAAGACTTCTTGCAAATTTTCACTGTTAGTGACTTTTATGTATATTTTTAAAATCTGATTAAGAGGTTTCTACAGAAAAAGGATGCATGTTATTTGAACTCAACAGCATCGTTAACAAGCCTAAAAACACACATAATGCTGGATTTCTGTTCTATTCTTCTTTCAGCACTAGCATACTGGCATTTCTTTGAACACAACAAAATACTAAGCAACATGAAGAGAGATTTTCTTTTTTTTTCTAAGTCCGGAGGGATTTCAACAAACTATTCTTATGACATCTAAATAGCCCCTCTGTCTTTTATCTGGTTGAAGAGGTAAGATGAAAGACAAGAGTCTATTCATAAGATTTAATACTAATGGTTATTTAGCTTTCAGCATCATCAATAACAAGTCCCATTAGTCCACTGTGTGTTTCATGCTTACTGCATATGTGACACAGTTATTTTATAGTTAAAGAGGTAACATTCCTTATTTCTACTGCAACCTACAATGCCCTAAATGACAGTGATACAAGTTATTCATGAGTGAACCTAGAAAAAAAAACTTTTCAAGTCATACGCAAACTGTACTTATTGAACTTTTATCATTTAACTGCAGGCAAAGAATATTTAAATACCCACAAGATCCATCCTTTTAAAGTTTAAACACTTCAGATTACTGTGAAGACTGATGCATAAACATTGGTATATGCTTTTCTGAAAGTCAAAAGTCAAATAATTCATGTATGCTTATTTGAAATTCAAACCCAAACTTTTAATGTTGGAATGCAAAGTTTTCTAAGAAGAAACAGAGAAGAATCTACATATTTCTCACTGCAGTGAGATACTAATCTGTTTTTTGTGGGTTTTGCTTGTATGTTTAAAGGAGACTTGAAAAATACAAGAAATGAATTTGCTGATGTAATTTTAAAAACCAAACTCATTTAATGCTTCCAATGTAATTGTTCCATGTTAAAATCAGTATTGTATCGAAAACAAACTGAAAAATGAGGTTTAAAATAACCTTTTAAAAACAGTCTGCAACAGGAAAAGTTTTTTTCTTCTATTCATGTTTCTCTAGTTATAAGCTAGAAGAAGACATACAAACAATACCTATCTCATCTTATCGAAGATGACAAAGCCTATCCCTGGATTTCTAACAAATATGCACCTACTTGTTGGCTACCCTCTTTATCAGTTGAAATTCCAAAGTGGAACTGGCAGATGTCCAAACACTATGTTAGTGAGAGCTAAATGTATTTTAAAACTAGAAAACAGTACATTTCTTTAAAACAGAATATGCAATAGGAGACCACAGAGACTACAGCTTAAGGGTAAATTTTTTAAAAAAATTGCATTTCCTAGAGTTAATGCTATTAACTTAAAGTACATGTTAGTACATAATTCCTTTTTGTCCACAGAATCATTAGAAGCTTTTGCTGCTGAACTGTATAAATTAGTACTGACATGACAAATCTTTGTTAGAAGATAATGAGAGCTCTATTAATATTTCCAACACCTCACCCTCCTGAGCTCAGGTAAAAGAATAACTCACATTTGGAATGTGTCTCTTGGCAATGACAATGAAATGGTAACCTAATCCTGGAGCTGTAAAAAGGATCAGACTCTTGGTAGCTTTGAGTCACAGAGCTACTATCTAAATGGAGTGAAAGTTTGAATTCTGGTAGTCAGCCCTGGGAGGATGCACCATAGCACCCATGTGGGCTGTGCACTGCATAGAAAGCTGAGGCACGGAGTGGAGAAAGGATGGTGATGTTCTGAGACACAGCTTGATACAAGCACGGGATGGGGCAGGGACATGTATCTCAAGTGGGGAACTCAGACATGTTCCAGGGTCCACTGATTCAGACAAAGAATCCCGAAGACCATCTTGATGCCACACAAGTCTATAGGAACTAATAACATGTGTGTACATATTACAAACACAGGCATATTTTCCTAGGGTAATGTTAATGCCTCATACACTTTTCAAAAGCACCGTGAACTGCTGAATTAGGCAACTATTCCTTTTTATGTAAGATCAGATAACACAACATTTATTTCCTTATTACATTACACAGACTGTTAACATAGAAGCCTGATGCTGCGCTGAGTCACGGGCACAGACCTACCTAGTCCTTAGCTCCCCACTGAGTTTTTGACATTTAGGACCTGATACTGCAGCAAGCAGCAACAAGTGCCACTGAGAAGAAACATCACACAGTGAGACAGGATTTTCAGAATAATGTACCTAACTGATTTTCAAAACTCATCTGCAGTGTTAATAGACTTACTGTCTCTAGATTCTTACCACCTTTCCTTGCAAAATATGCCTGAGGCATGACTGGAAAGCATTCATCATGACTAAAATCTGTAATATGTTCCTTGTTCTCTAACTTGCTTCCTGGGAGATGGTATTTGCCGTGCAATGTCTTGTTTCAACAGAAACTGTCAAAGTAATACATATTTTGGAATTTTTTTTTTTTTTTTTGGTTAAGACAGAAGAAGAGTGATTAAATGAGGAATGGGGTCAGAAAAAAGAAGAGTGTCAAGGAGAACAATGTCTTAGTGTCTACTATTGATGTCCCAAATCTTTCCAAAGGTAAGACTAAATCTTTGCAAATATTTTGAGTCCACTTCTCCGAAATGATCTTTGTTTTTCTGCTGCTATGTGAGTCAGTTCATCATGCCAGGCTTCTATCCCTGAAGGCTTCAGTCTAAGCAACCTAGCCTCAAAGACTGCTCAAGAGCATCAAACCTTCTGTCATTTTGAGACTCTCCAAGTTATTGGGATATATCCTACAAGTCAGTTCTGTAAAGAAGGTTTAAAAATGTATAAATTATGAATTTAATCCTACCAGGTACAGCCAGTCAAAAGAACTGTAAGCAGGCAAGCTAGTGAGACTGGGAGATCGCGATGTCCAAAAGCAGTCTTTTTTTGCAAAGCCCAGGCAGCCTCAAGAGGGTCCCCACAATTAAACAACCTATCATTCTATGATGAATCAGGTTTAATAATTATGTAAATCCACACTAAAGTTTTAAATATTTTGCAAGGCACTTTCTTACTAGGTAGAATTCAAGAATATATCAGATCTGATACAGAAAGGCTAAAAGATGCACAAGTTTTCTCTACAGAGAGTGTAACAGACAGTATCTGAGGAAAAAGTCTGATGGCGCATTTCCAAAACAATAAGCAGCTTATATCCAGCATTCAACAACATCCATAATTTCCCATTACCGAGGGATTAGTTGTTTTTTAATGACAACTAAAGCCATGGAATCACTATGCTGTACTGCTAGTGCCTTTAGCAAGGAAGAAAATGTAACTTCATGGATGTCCTCAGCTTTCACTGCGTCACTCACAGTTCTGCATCAGTTTATGAAGAGATACAGAAAAAACAATTTCCAGCCAAATGGCTAAAATTAATTTGGTAGTAGACATTACAGGAGATACTTTATGCCAAAAGCAGAAACCGTTGAAACTCATCTTGCCACCAGCAGGCTGACTGCGTCAAGCGGTCAGGGAATGGCACTGTTGCACTGAGAAGCCTGAGGCTGCATGACCAGCACTGCTGGCAGCTGAGGGAAGCAGCTTCTGTACACAGTTGGGGATGGCCCCTCAGGAATTCAGGCCTGCCTACTTGTTATGCCATACTTTAAAAACATTAATTTCCACCAAAAGTAGAGAATGTGTAGCAAAGACCCCCCCCAGGAGGTATGATGTTCTTTGAAGCACACTCTTGATTAATGTGGACTTGGCCTCCAAGGCTGAGCACACCCATCCTCAGCCTGTGTAAACCTCCTCGCTCTCAGCGCTAAAACCAGCTCAGATGGACTGTGACCAATTCCCCCACCTCGCTGTTTGAACGCATCTCCCCAGGTAGTCCATGTTCAGGCTGCCACCCCAAGTTGCAGTTATCACAAAATGCCAACTGAGCATACTTATGTGTGCCATTTCCAGTTCATTCCAATTAATTTTACAAGCAAATGCACTAGACAGCTTTCAGAGATTATGACCAGATTCTTACTGTTTTGTATCAAAGACTAGAGCTGTTAATGCAAGGCCAAATTGTGTGTCTTCTCTGGCCTGTCCAGAGACCACACTGCTATCTGGCTTCTCTATACAATTTAAAGTGCTTCAGAGTAGGTTAAATCGCACAGACTAAAGGGGTGGCCTTGCCTCACACCTGTGCAATGGAAAGGAAAGCTACTGTGACCGCAATGGGCTTCCAGATGAATTCCTCATGGGAGAGACTTTTGCTATCCACACAAAATTCAATATACTTGCAGAATAGATACCCCGAAAGATGTCAGAAAGCATGTTTCTTTGTCTCTCTTGAGGTTAATAATGTTATCAGATCACAATGAAAAATAAAATAATTTCCTTGTCTATGAGGTAAACAATGACCCAGCCATTTTTTTAACACTCTAATATTTTGATGCAACATGGCTTGGTTCTTTATGGGGTTTACCCACCCGGAGAGCTTCCTTTAAAGCATGCAGGAACACTGCAGTACTCCTTGGTTTACAGTATCTAAAAGCTTTTCAACACAATTTAATGTTAATCTGGAGATACAAAACATACACATGTTGGAGAAGACAGGTCAAGAAAAAATGTGCATTCCATCTGAACTGAGAGGCAACAAGTTTAATGACACACTCTTTTGGTGCGGGACATTAATTTTAGCTTTGGACCATATTCTTGCAAAATTTGATGTGCTGCACCCCTGCTACAGAGTGTTAATGCACTAGAAGAGCGTAGCTCTAAACCACCATATTTCTCGCTTCAGTTTAAGCAGTCTTTAATTATTCTGGGCTCAGGGCTTTGCAGACTTTGAAGATATGGGCAGAAAACTTTAATTAAAAACTCTAGGGAGCAGATGGGCAGGTTACGATAGCCTGCACAGTCTCTGTGGCTGAGGAGATCCACTGCAATGCTGCAATGTTTGAAAGTCCAACCCTGTGCTGACCATCTAAGTGGTGATGTGTGAAAGATTATCATTCACCTCTCTTAGGACCAAAAAAAAGTATACTGCTTATAGTCAGACTGAAATTTCTGACTTTTATTTCGAAAGTTTTCTGTTTAAAAGAGATTAATATCTGTGTCCCCAAGTATTAGTTAAATGTTTAAAAAAGCACATGTAAATGAGATACTTTGTATGAAAATGTGTTCATTGTGGAATGCAGAAGCATATGTTTAATCATTTGGGAATGAGACAATGAACGTATTTCGCAACATGAATTCCATTTTAAGAGCAAATGTAGAACATTCTGTATTTCATTCCTTTTCTAACAACAGCTAAAAATATTTCTAAGTTTAGCCATTACTCAAAGCATATTAAATCAGAGATATTGAAACTACTCATAACTCATTAATCTAAACTGAAGGGCCCAAGAGCAAAGTCAGTGATGTAGATGACTGCACTGTACAGTAGATATCTGCAACCATTAGCATTATTTTCCGTACCAGAACTCTATGTATTCTACCAAGGAACTCAGGGCAGTAACACAAAAGCAACTGGTGCTGTTCATCGAGCAACACCTTTTTCAAAATACACCCAATTCTTCTAGCTTACGCACTTTCCTGTAACACTCTACACCACTTCCAGGCAAAGGGTTTGCCTCTCCTCTTCCATGAAGCATGGTCAAATGCTCAGCTGGATGTCTCATATGAAGCAGAACAGTTCTGCTAGGAAGCCAGAATGCTGCATTTCCTCTGGCCTATGGGAAGATGGGTGAGCTGAGACAGTCACCACCTCTGATGACTTCTACACCATTTTCTCCAGTCTAGTTAGAAAGAACTTGGTTGCTGGTCTTGCAAGCCTACCTGCATATCTCCTTCACTGTGTGCACGCCTGTGCTATGAGTAAATCAGACTGTCTGCTCTGCAAAAGTCAGCAAGGAACTCTAAAAGACTGGGCTGGTTAAGACTGGGCAGATTTTTTGGCTTTTCTTCCAGCATCAATTATAATACTGGAAAAAGAAAATCCTTCAATTGAAATATATTTCTCTGGATAACTAAGTCCACTGCAATCCCATACAAGGGCCATTATTAAGTGGTGAAATTTTGAATTTTAGATGTGTAAGCAAAAATCTCACTAAAAGAGGCAGATATAAGCACCCTGGGAACACAGCAAACAAACTGCTTTTTCGTTTCCTAATACAGTATCTCAATATGTATTAAGGGGTATCTCCATACATTTAATGATTAACTGGGACCTCTGTCTATACACTGTACAGAGAACACACCTGGCTATACCTGCTGCTTAAATAATGTTGCAGACTACTATTTAAACTCTATTTTCATAAGTCAGTGACATTTTCCATCTGGCATCAGTCCAGGATTACTTTGAAAAAACAGCAAACTCACATGCAAATTGTGAAAGTGTTGTAGAAATAAACTATCCCAAACACCAAAGTTCTGTTGCAGTATCTCAGCTTTCAAAGAAAAGTCAATTAAAAAAAAAAAAGTATTTTTATGCTTTATCTGCTTTGCTTGAAAGTAATACTATGAGTACCATAATTATTAAAAATAAAGGGTAAAAACATATGCACTGACTACACTATATAGTCAGATTCACTGCTTCTCATCAACTTCTGTGAGAGACTGAGACAGGAAAGAAAATAAAAATTAGAAAAAAGTGGTAACTTGGACTTTGCCAAGTAGAAATATAGAGACCATAAGAATTTCAAGATAGCTGTACTTCCCAAAGCTATTTAATTCTTCCTTTGAACATACTATAATTCCATTTACAATCTGCTCAGAAACTGTCCAATATTCCAGTTACAATCATTTCAGATTTTTCTCAGTGAAGAATTCTGAAGACAAAATTTGAAGAAAGACAAAATAAAGACATTCAGGTTCAGGTATTTAATTAGCTCCCCATAAGCTTATGTGTTTAAATCTGTCCAATTGTGTCAAAGTTTCTTTGGAAATTTTATACTATAGCTGTGCATTCATGCAGAATAAGGATCGTTTTTCTCTCACTGTCATGGCAGTTAAGTCTCAATTGAAATAGGTTTTGAGAAGCAGACAACTCAATCCTAGCTATTTTAATCTGGTGACTGATGAAAAGATTCAAGAAAGGAGATGGTTATTAGTCAGTCAAACAATTTTTAACTGAACTCTGGATGCGTACTGAGGGAGCAAAAGCTTTATACATCAGAAGAGAGTTTTTGTTTATGCCTAGTAAATATTAAAAGTGTTAGCAATACTGTCACTTCCATTTTTTCCCCAGGCAGGTGAAAAAGAATATGAGCTGGACCAACTCTTTGTAGAAACTGCTGATGCATGATAGGTTTATAAAGCAGAACCCTGTATAAACTTCTTATTGAATGCTACCAACATGAGCAGTCACTGCCTCATGCCTAATTACCCATTTTCAGTTTAGAACTGAAAGCAAGTTTGTGGTGAGGAAAATATCCTTCAGTTACACCATCCAATTTAAGCATGCAACAAATGTAGTGCTGCTGATGCAAGCAGCACGTTATAGTAATAGATGGAGATGATCCATCTGTACTCTCCCCCTCCTTTGCCCTGATTCATCAGCTTCCTCTGAGGTGTTTCCAGCATGCTCAGGACTTCCCCCTTTACAGTCTCATTCAATCTCATCCAGGCTACAGAGTATCTTGCCTCTGTGCTGACTACACACTGAAGATGGCAGCTGTCAAAGAATCTACCTGGGAAGAAGGTAGGTAACACTGTCAGGATTCAGGGGAAAACAGCCAGAGGAGAGCAGGAATTTACCTGACCCTTTCATTAATGAGATGTATTTATTTGCCATTTGCTAATGGCCTGCAATCCAGTGAAACTTCTAACCCAGGTGGAAGATCATACTCTAAGATTGTTTCTTCTGGTCTGCATCTACATAATTTTTTTCTGGAAGTGGACCTAACTAAAGCAATTCTTGCCTTTGTCATCTCAATGACAGTAATTACATTTCAAACTAACTCAGAATAAGCTGATATTATTGCAAAAGTAGCATTTTGGTAAGTTTAAGATACTGATTTCTGTTTGGAAAGCCATCTTTTCTCATATGGCAATACAGAGTTTTTTCTGAGTTTCTCATAAATAGAAGAGAGTTACTTTGAAACAGAGGCTTACAGAGACTAAGTAACAAGACTGACTACACAGTACCGAAATACATTAATTGCATACGTTTCATAAGGAGATTCAGAAATGACAAACATTTTTCTTCACCAGATAGAAACTGGTGCTTATATACTTACCAAAAACTTTGAAAAAAAAGAACAAAGTTCATGGCAAACAGGACAATCCTTTTGTAAAGAAAAATGTATCTCTATTTCATACCTGAAATACTGTTTCTTCTCCAGATGTTTTTAAATCATCTTCCTTCCCAAGGATTCTCTGTAGCTGTATTTGTTAAAACATGAAAAAAACACAGGAAAATTACAAATTTAGTCTACAAGGGTCTCCTCTTTCAGAAACTTGCATTAATTTTACTCCTTAATTATAAAGTCATTACGTTTCTGCAAGGTTCTCTAGTCATGACAAAATATTCGCATGCTTAAGGATATTTTGCTATTCAGATACATTTTTTTCCCAGGAATGTCTTATCTACTGTGTTTAATACAGCCAAGCAGAGCACATGAATCTATCCTTTGCAACCCAGTGCTTACTCTATTTTTAGTGGAGATTTTCTTGCACTAGAAGCTTAGCATTCACTTCATAAGATTTTAAAACTCAGCGGTGTAACATCAAGAGTTATTTTTGGAAATAAAAATTATCCTGCAATTTCCATGCTGTCCTCCCAGACAGCTTTACATAGTTATGCTACAGACATGAAAAACATCCTTGTTCTAACTAGGTACTATACAACTAGCAACAAAGAATAAGTTAATTAAATAAGCAAATGTATTTTCAGAATTGGCATTAAGCATAATTTGATTTCAATTTCTCCTCCAGCCCCCAAATAAATGAATCTTGAATATGTTAGCAAGGAGATTTTAAAAAGTACAGAAATGGCTCACATTTAAAAAAATAACATCCACTGCCCCAGGTAGAGCTTTAAGGTAATACAGAAAGTGCATTGATTTGCAGCATCTCAGATGCTCAAGACTGCTTAGCTGCAAGGTTGTTTTGACTGTATTTGAGCTTGGGAGGTCAGCACTGCCATAAGAATGAGTGACTTAACATAGCACAAAGTATACCTACCTTTCACAGACCTGTGCATGAATCCTCAAAAGAACAGCAAAAATAAAAGAACAAGGGACTTATTACATTTCAGGTATAGATATGGACTTACAGCGATCACTATAGATTTGGAGACTTTAGGAAAGATGCTTTTATAGCCCAGGGTTTTTGAAGCCACTGGCTTGCTTCTCAAACGTTTTTGAGTGATTCCTCACCCTGCCTATTAAAACTGGGAAAAACATCCATGATCAAATTTGCATAGCCATTACTTTGTGGGGTTTTCAAATCTCTTCTTATGGCTTAATTTTTTTCCTTTTTTACTTTTTTTTTAGAGAAGCAACATGGGCTTCTAAGTAGTGAGTAGGAAAAAACCTGCTAACTGTTCATGTTACCAAAGTCTTCCCTTGGCCTTCAAATTTTGACTAATTCACCTGTTCTGTTTTTTTTATAGCCTCGGTTTTTGAGTTCCTCAGGATAGCTACTTTCTATTGTTATTTTTGAATGGCATGCCTTGATAGTATTTATCAAAATAATTACTGTAAAACAATACGATTAAACAGTACTAGTTTTTCCAAGTTTCTCCAGATTATTTTTATTTTTGATCACTTACAAAACAATTGACTAGTACAGTAAAAGCATTATGAATTTCTTCATAGCAGAACAGCAATAGAGCGCTCTGGATAAAAACACAACTGTTCATCCATACTCTCACTGAAAATTTACATTTTTTTCTTACCTGATAAATCCATCTTTCGCTCACACACAAGAAACACAACTGCAAATACTTTCTAAACAAGACAATGTTTTTTTTCCTTTTGGATTTTATTTCTAAATGACTCTTAAAAAATCTGCAGAGACTACTGAAGAGCACAGACACACAGTATAACTTTTTTTCACAAGTGTTCTGGAAGATTTCGTTTATTGTTTTCATACATTGTATGTAAATCTTTATAGTGCTTGAAACTACTTGCAGTATTTTGCAGATTTTTTCCAACAAAATGCAGCAACTACCCACAGAGGGAAATAATTCTGCCCTTGAGAAATGGACTCTAATACTCAACTGTGCTATGTAACATTTATCTGTATTTAATATTTGTATCTGTTCATCACTGGAAGATATTAAAGGTTAATTCAAAGATAATGAGACCTACTACACACAACTGATGCCTCTTTAGTAAACACATACTAAGAAATAATCTTTTATGAAGGCAAGGGCTGTCAGAAAGGCTATGTCAGTCTTAAAAAAAAAAAAAAGAAGAAGAAAAAAAAGGTGATTTTGCATCTTCTGGTTGTTTGAGAGTGATTAGTGCTGGTGGATCCTCTAGGACTGCAGAAGTGTTCTGTGTACCAAACCACCACAACTGCTGACAGTGTGGGGTGCCGGTTCATTCAGCTCTAGACAAACCTCTACAAGACTTTTGTGGTAGCTGCTGTCCAGGACAAGTGTACAAAGACAGTCTATTTAGAAAGTCTAAATCACACATCTCTTGCATGTGCCATCAGAGTTACTCTACCTCCATTCCCCATAGTTTTGAACTGTCATTAATTTTACTTAGAAATCTTTAGTCAGGACAGCGTTAGGGAAATTTCTCACTTGTTGGGGATTTTGGGATATTTGGTAGCCTTATTCCTGATGGGAGGTCTCAAATTAATGTGCACGGGTTATTATGTGCATGTCTGGAAATCCCCCTCACCAAGCCTCACATGAATGTCTTAGAAGTGCGGACTTCACAGAAGTCCTCATAAAGATGCAAACAACATGGCTTTGAGAAACAATTCTTTGCACTCTGTCAGAGGCTGATTAAATTTCTACCATGTCTTCCTCACTCTGGAGTTACAGGGCAAAGCAACAAATCCTTGCAGATGCTGTGATTCTGGGCCCCAATACTGGAATGTTTCTTGTATTGTGAATGTTTATCACTGAAACATGGATAAAGCAGAAATTAAAAATAGACTGGCTTCAATAGAAAGAAGTAGTGTGGAGAGAGAACAAGAGTCCCTTCCCAGGGACAAACTTTTAACTCCTACTGGAAAAGAGGAAAATGTGCACAGAAATGGAAAGAATATGGAGAACAAAACAAACTATCTTGCTGAAAACATGGAAGTGCATTCAAGATCTCCTTTCCTGAACATTCATGAATGTTAGCGAAGGGCATGGAATCTGCTGGGAAATCCTGCATCTCACACTCCTTCAGTGTCTGATCCATATCAGTCTGAGCAGCCTATCTCCATCATGTGCTGCAGGCATTAAGGAGTCTTGTAGAGTCGGCTTGTCACCCTTCTCCCTTTCCTCAATGATTCACACCTCTTGTGCCTGTTTATCCAGTAAGATCTGAGAGCTGAGATATACACAATTCAAAGAATGATGGACATTTTGCAAACAAAAAGGGAAAGTTCTTACCTCGAAGAATTTACAGTCTAGATCAACAGATAATGCAGACATACACAGATGTCTAATCAATAGATAACGGATGGCAAGTAGGACAAAGTGACAAAGCAAGAGAATGAAGTAGCACTGAAATTTCTTTTCCCATCACAACCTGCTTACAGTAACTACCTACAAATTATGACTTCTTCGCTATGCTTTTCCACTGCCATTTCCTCACATATGTTTCTTGATTTTAGTGTCAAATACAGTGTGGAAATAACTATAGAATAGTTCAGACTTATTTTCCTGAGATGCCAACTGGACAAGACAGATGACAGATTAGCCACACAAGTTACTTATTTATTAGATATACAGAAGCCTTCTATGATGCATACAGAACTAGAGTGTACGAAGATTAACATACACACATTTTTCCAGATTCTTACATTCCAAAATTTTATTTTTGAACCTAACCTATAAAAATCAAGTTTTGCTTGAAAATAGTCATCACTTATAAATGTTAACTAAACAGACATGTGATAAAACTCATCTTTTGACTAGTTTACATCCTGTGGGACTTCTTTGAATTTAATGATTCTTGTGAGTCGATATAGCAGTTTATATGGTTTTAGCACTCCATATTAATTTATTAATACAGTGCAAAGTAACAATCTAACTAGAATAATGTTCCTTTAATTCGATTGCCTCTACAGAAATCAAATTATTTTTAATGTTTTATATAATGTTTTCACCTCTACTTTTGATGACTTTCTGTTGTTTATACTGGCTGACTCAATTAGAATTACCTGAAATGGGTAATGGATATTAAACATATGACATACTGTACATCTCTCCAAGAGTTGTGCTGTATTTCTACATGAATCTCCTTATTTAACTGACACAATACCTATTTAAAGGAAGTACTGCTAACTCAGCATTCTGGTGCAGAGGCACTACAGGCTGAACATGCTCATTTGTGTTTATGAACTTGCTTTGCCCCTGTAACATACTGTTTTGTAGATGAACAATACAGCCATAATAGACATATTTCAGTGATCAGGGCACTGCTACTCTGATAATAATTCACTAGGATTACACCAGGTTTAGCAGGTTAAAAACAAAGGCTTTAGTTAGAATTTGATTTCTTTTTAATCGGCAGAATAACTAACATTTGAAGAATTTTTAGCAAATTCTTCAAGCTTAAAAAATTTTATGTAGCAAGAAATGCATGTGTAAGGTATCTGCAGGCTCAGTCAGGGCTTTCTGGTAGCACTGTCTTGGGAAATGGTCTTATTTCAAGTATTATTTTCAAACAGTGCTACTAAGTCTAAAAGTATTTTTACAGTATTTTAGAATGACTTATCAACTGTAATCTTGCTAAGAGACAATTCACTGAAAAAACAGGTATCAGTGCAAAACACATGCTAACAGCTATTCTACCATTAATTCAGAGTTCAAGGCTATGAAAGTACACTTAGATTTTTGGTAAATTGTCTATCAACAGGTGCATCTTTATAAGTTAGATTCTATAGTTCTCTAGAGTTGTTGCATTAATGATAATCTTTTAATTTTATCCTAGTGACAGAATATAGTTTGCATTGTAGCAGCCATTTCAGTTTATAAAATTGTCTTTCTAGTCAGCTCCAATATGAACAAAGGATTTGAATTAAGATGAGGAGTCTCTTCAAAATTATGTTTGTTAATTTTGCATTTGACTTTTGACAAGAAGTATTTATTTAACAGCCTCCTGTTAAATACTTAAAAGTTGAATAAGGCATATAATTAAGCCTATTCTTCTTTAAAACATCAGACCACAACTTTCTCTGGTTTTTAAGCACTTGCCTTTCTCCCTTATATTTTATATAAAATATGGGAAAAACTGTTGCTACTCTCCAAAGTGTGAATTGGTAAAAAATCTCTGCAGCACCAAGTAAAATTAATAAAAAAACCAAGAGAGGGTGATGAATTAAAAAAGTTATTTAAAATATTTAGAATACAGAAGACTTTTCCAGATGATTATTTAAATTATCTCATGGGATTAAGAGATGCACACCAACTCCTACCTTCCCAGTAACAGAATTTTTAGACACAAGTTAAAGGTAACACTTATAAAAGTGGATTCAAATATGATAAGTACTTCTGCAGCAATGCTTTGGTATGTGCTCCTTTCATATAAAGTATTTTAGTAAGTATGCGATCATACATTGGACTGAAAAACAGGCTTGAAGATTTTAATGAATCTTCATTTAGCAAATATAACCCATGGAACTATTTAAATGCTTTAAAACTAATATGCATATAAATACACATACCTTAAAAAATTCCTTCTTTTCAACTTGTTCATTGCCATCTGTATCCAACATTTTAAAGGCAATCTGAAATCCAGTCTGGGGTTCTGCAACAAATTGTGAAAGAACTTTATTGTAAATACACACACACTTACACTAGTACTTAAATATTTAATGCAAAAGGAATATTGCTTATGGTTCAGTTCTCCATTGTTATGCATATACATGATATTTCCAGTAAACCATATGTACCTCCTCCAATATAAGCAAACTTTTTAAACACCTTTTTACTACCATTTCAAGGGATAATTAATGCAACGGCAAAGCAAGAAATACCAGCAGTGCCTAAGTACAGCCACGAATGTCCATCTGATTCCAACGTTGGAAAATGTTGTTTTGGATATTCTCTATGGATGTCTCCCATAATCTCATGTCACTTTTGAGTCTAGATCTGCCTTGTTTATTAGAGCTCCTTTTCAGGTGAGAAGACTGGAAAGTGCCTTGAGAAACCAATAATGATTCCTGAACTGCATGAAAGAGCTAGTGTACTCCTCAGGTATGATAATTCTTCCACGCCTTACTGTACGCCAGTGTGTGCAGTCTTCCCTAGCAAACAGACCGATCCTGTAATCGCGGCCAGCTCTTGGCTCCTGCTCCTGCTGTGCTAGCCCCAGGCCTTTTTTTCTTCCCTTCTCCTTCCTCCCTAAACAATGTACTCAAATGTTACCAAGATGTAATAAACCACTCTTTCTGGCCTTTCTGGAGAAAAGCATGTTTTGTATGACTCCCATCAAGCTGAATTTTTCAGGAATTTTATACAATTTTACCCTGCATTTCCTTCACCGAGTGGATGTTTCTTTTCAACACAGAAATGTAATGAGTTTTGAATCTTTCAGGTGCTATAAAAACATGGTGTGTTTTGAGCTCCTTCCCACAATTTCCTGATCTTACTTTGCTTACAGGAGGTGGCCTCGCTCATTAGCAAGCCCACACAGGAGCAGCATGCTGCTAAAATGTAGTTACAGTTCACTGCAGTAGCAAGCACTTATCCCAGTAATTTCTGGAGCAGGTGAATTAATTCCACAACCCAGTCAAGTCAGGCATTAATATGAAAGCCAGGGACTTATCGTCTCTAGAACACGTTCATGTTTCCAAGAACAATGTTGGACTCACGAGGGCAGTGAAGCAGTATCTCTAAAAAACTCTAATGCCTTCAGAGTTTTTCTTTTGGAAATATATTCTTCCAGCTCCATCCTGTAAAGTTTTAAGTCTTGCTTTTTTTTTTTTTAGACAATCTTTCTACAAAGGGAATAAGTTAAAAGAAATAACCCATTCTTTTTAAGTGATAACAAGATGGTTAAAGAAAATACTGTTTTTACATTTTAGAAATAACTACATCTTCAGCAGTCAGCTAACGTTCTCTGTGGAGCAACCCTGTGATGCAGGGACATTTTATAAATACTGTTGCAACCTGCATAGCAGAGCCCTTCCCCAGCAACTAGGCTGTAATAATCAGAACTGGCTTTCTTTCCACAGAAATGCCACATGCTAAATTTGTGTTACTAGCACAAAAGCAAGAACCTATCCTATAACATATTTAGAGAATAAAAGTAATTGATGTATTTAATAGTAATTCATACCATCTGTGTTGCAATTTTCAGATAAGAGAGCTGTTACTGAAAATATAGGACTTAAAGCTGCTTATACTGTTCAGAGATGACACACTTATCTGATATGATGCAACCCCAAAGGTATGTGTTCGTAAAATAAGCATAGTTCAAAGACTACCTCAGATATATTTGTATTTAATTAGAATCAGGCAAAATTCCAAAATCTGAACAGAAGAACTTCAACTTGGCTGTGAGTGCAGGTTAGATTTAGGTGCTTCCCCTCCAACTATTCCTATGTTGACCAAGCTGTCAACCTCTGTGACTGGCTAATTGAAATGAAGCTTTGAGTAAAGGTGACAACTTCAGTTCCCGGGCTCCTTCACCATGCAAGGCTTTACCAGAAGCTCCATTAACCAGTTACTGGAAATTAAATTCAATACAGCACTGGAAGAAAAAAAGATAGTCATCATACAAGGCACACAGAAAAGAGGAAAATGGGATGACAGGAGCAAAATAAAACCTTTGTCTGCTGCAAAATTATATTTTCAAGTTCAGTGTTGTTACAGACAGTGCTTTTGCGTGACAGGCAGCGTGGTCTGGTCAGCAGTGTCCTGGAACCAGGACTCCGGAAACCTGGTGACTTTTCCTGTTTCCCTGCTGCTCTGTTGGTGACTGAGAAGAAGTCATTTAAATATAAACGGATGTTTTAAGAAATCTCACGTTAATTCTCACTAGCGACAGAGATAGGTTGTGTAACTGGAGGCTGACTGACATGGGATACTTGTTAGGCAAAGATAGAGGCACTAACACTTGTTGGTGCTTGCTTTCAAACTGATCGTATGATAGCCCTCTGTGTAACCAAAGCAGCAACATTAGCATGTCATTTTTATCCTTCATCAAAAGGGGCTTTGTTTTTTCAGTTCAATACACTCCTATTTAAATTCTGCGAAAAATAATGTTACTTAACTGTTTGGAGAAGTGGACAACTTGCTCTGATACTGCTTCAATTTTCTAATTGCTTCAGCCAATAAATCAGCACGAAATTACTTTCAGCTGCCATAGGTTTTGAAAGAAATAGAATCTTTGGCACTTATTTCTGCAACTTTAAGGTATTATTCTGAAGTTATAAAGTGGCTGTTGTCCTTTTTTAAAAAAAAAATCCCTCTTTTTGAGTTGCAACAAATATTTTAAAATCAGCTTGTTTAACTGGGCTAGACTCATATTATTTCTGACTTTAATAAACACTTGAACACATGGTATAACTCACGTTCAAGTTGCATGTAGCACTAGGCAGTGACTACTGGTGAAACAGTATATTTATATGTTAAATAGGTTATCAATGCATATATAATCTTTAATACTGTGTACTAGATGAAGTTTCCTAAGAGATCACCCTTCATGCCATGTAACAGGAACTAATGCAGTTCTGCTGAGAAATTATGTAAATTGCAAAAAGACTACCTAAATTGTGTGAGAGGTGTGTACCAGTGGTCATTACCTGTGAAAGCTGGACAAATTCTCTCCAGTCTCTGGAGACCAACACTGTGCTGCACCAAGAGAGGGTGGATTTCTAGAGCAAGGAAAATTTGTCTGTTTGTTTAAGCCCCTAACATGGACCTTGCTACCACAGAAGTGATGAGGCTCAAGCATCTACAGTCCACTGGGATGAGAATGACTGCTTCTTTCTCTCCTTTCCCTACCCACTGATACCATGAGATCTAGTATGCCTGATTTTGTCCCTTGCTGACCTGTACAAGTCAGTCAGACAAGACTGCATGTGCATCATTACATGGATATGCATGTGGACTACTAGTCTATGGGTCTCACTGCATAATGCTCTTTGTACACATATTATCTCAAACCTTGATATTTTCCAGCATCACCTACACTTCATCAGAACAGCACATGGAGGTGCCAAGCATGGCACAGTGTAAGTATGCGTGAGGAAACCCAGAAAATCCAAGCTCACTTTCATACACAATAGAAAATGTCTACTGTTCGCAGATAAAGCAAGTATCAAACAAAAAAATTTTTTAAAAAACATGTCAGAGGAGAAACAAGGAGACAAAGGAAGGGGCAGAAATCCATGCAAAATACTTGGGGGAAATAAAGTAAAAAGGAACAGAGGGGAAAAAAAAGATTAAAAGGTCAAACAAAAAGACACTGTAGAATTCTGCTGTTTATGTGTATCATCCATTGCATATCTGAACACATGAATAATAGGCAACAACTTTTCAGACACCACAACATCTTATTACATCACTGCATGAGCTAGAAAGTTAATGTCTCATTGTCCATAATGACTAAAACTATTATCTAGAAGACAAATTATCTTCCCCCACTGTTCTCCTTCCTCTTATTACGTGGTCCTATAACCAATGTGTCCCCTCCCTCAAAGTCTCTTGAAAGACTCTTCTGATCCCATGGTGCAGGGATTATCATGGTTTTTGAAGTACTGTTATGTACCAATGATGAAACTAGCTGCAATCAACTAAAGTTATATCCATTTATATCAATGCCTTATCACTCTATATACAATAGTTCTTTACATTTTACTATAATGTAGAAATTTAGAAGTTAAAAAATATCAGAAAAAGTTATTGGAAAGCTGTTAGTAGCTAAGTATTTAGGCATATGTATTTTAAATATATAATACTTACTTGTAAGGATTGTCAGCAAAAATAGGTACTCTGCATAAGATATCAAGCCTGAAATAAAGAGTTAAAAAATGACTTGCAACAACCCCCTCAAACTTATAGCAAGACTTGAAAGATCAAATTTTATAAAAAATATAGTTTAACATCATATTAAATAGGTTATGAAAGTAAGCCACGTTATTATTTAATAAAGTTTTTACTTCTGTTTTTAGTGCTCTGAAGGCAAAATTCCCTATCCAGAGACTCATCAATGTTCATGTCTAATCAAGAAAGTAAGGTTTATTTGGTATTAATAAAAGGCCTACACTAAATCTTTAGATTCTCACTGAAAACATTCAATGTTTATATAAAAGGCAAATAAATTAAATGCGCTTTGTCACATTTAGTACCTGGGAGGAGAACTACTCTAACATTTCCCTGAAGGATCAAAGTCCTCCATCCTTTGGCAGGCTCGTGAAGGCGGAGAATAGCTTCCCTCTAATTCTCAAGGGGAACATGGCAACACGCAAAGCTGCCAAGCTTAGATTGTGCTGATAGTACTGCTGGGCCGCATGCCAAGAGGAGGCTTCTTTTTTTTATTTAAATAGGAACATGTCCTTTCTACAAGGTGAAAGTATTTTCCCCCCTTTTGAAAGAAAATTCCAGTGTTTTCCTTTGAAATACCGCCTTAAGTGAAAAGCCTGAACAAACACAAAGATGTGATAGCGTCAAAATAGAGCGTACAAGCTAAAGATAGAGAGCACATAACGAGGGTGGTTAAACAACAGAATCTGAACCATCTGCCCTGCAATACTGTTTGGGGAAAAAAAAATGTAAAGGGCTTTTTTATAAATCACTTTTCAAAATAACCGAGCTACTTTTAACATGTGAATTAAACATTGTATAATGCTGGAGCTGCTTAAAATAATGAAATTCAAACATGCCTATCTGTGCAAAGAGAAACTATTTTTAATAATTTATTTAGTTAATTGATAGATAAGGAATCCACTTAAGCTTCAGTGATAAACAATTAACTTCTGATAAATTACTATGCAGAGCGAATAGCATTTGTATTTGACCTCAGATAGTGACTTAACACTTTAAGTTTTAAGTACCAGAGTTTAGAAATATTGAACTGCTCGATGCAAGTCTGAAAATCTGAGAATAAATCTTAGTCAAAGACAGGTCTAATGCTGATCCTGTTGCCAGTTCACTCTGGTTCCGTATCTCAGCTTTCCTCTCCATCAAAATAGGGCTATTCACCCTATTATCCAGCATGCATCATGTATAAATCAGCACAGGACTACAGTCATATGCTGAGGAAATAAAAAGTACTTTAATCTCAAAGATTTAGTTTTGCTTGCAATTTTTAGGGTTAATGCCATTGCAAGAATGTAAATTATTATTTGCATTGCTGTAAAACTTGGAATTGTGTTCCTAGACAAAGTGTCCAGGATTTCTACAAATTCAAAACCAAACAAGCAGAGAAAGAACCCTTTCCCCATATTTTAGCTTATGTGCCTAAGACAAGATTAAAAAATGGAGAGAAACAAAGAGGAGAGGAAAAGAAATCAAGCAAATAGTGTGGTGGACAGTGATGAAGATTCCTGCTCCCTAATTTTGTTTTGTGTGATACAGCAAAAAAATGTTTAAAGGAAGACAAGAAGGTAACTTTTGAAGTCTCTATAGAAAATAAATCCCGGTCATGGATTGCAACGATAACAGCGTAAAGATCCCTGCCTGAAAATTTAACCAGCAAGCAATGAAGGCCAACATCACTAGCCAAAGAGAAGTGGGAGTCTGCCTCTTGTCTGTCTTGAGATGTGCTGCACAGGGACAGTCTAGGGAAGACCTGGAAGCAGCTTATGCTACATAGAACAAGGAGAGCCCAGTGTTGGGATACTAAAGAAGAGATGATACACTCAAAGGAGTCATGTAAGAAAAACATGTTTATCAAAGCATTTGAAAGGAGATTAACATGTGGATTATGTTTGTTAAAGTCAGAGAAAAAGAAGTTGTAATAATTAAGATAAGAAAATGCTGAGCACCTGGAGTCTTAGCTATATGGGTAGACAGGGAACATTGTACCTTATATTTTGTAGAAAGAATTTGCAAAATTTATATGGAGATGGTAGAATGTAAAGAAACGACCCATTTAAACACAACACCCTCCTTACTGAATGCTCAGGAGAGAAGCATGATGGCTCTACCCATTCCAATTTGCAGAGGGCTGGAGAGAAAAGCCTTGCAAGAAAGGGCAGGGCCGAGAATTAGACTCTGTTTTCACCATCTTAACATACGCTGATAGAAAAGCCACTATAGTGAAGTAGGTAAAAATGTAAATATAATAAAAATATATAAAAAACCTGCCTCAGTGCCTTAAAACAAATCCACAGCCTGTCTGACATTTTCTGGCAGACATTACACTAAAATAATCAGAGATAAGATTTTTTAAACTTGTGGACTCATTACCATAAAAATTATTCTTTTAACTTTATTGTCCTTTTACTACCTGTAGTGAATGGCCAATTTACCTTATCCATAAAGTAAATTAAATATTTTGGTAATCTTCTTTTTATTCTACAGTAATCACTACAAAGTTACTAAAATTAAAAGATGCAATGCAACAAATTTTTAAAAATCACCCCAAAAGCTGTAGAAGATTATATTCATGTCCAAGCAAAATTTAAAAGATAAAAGCTTCACATACTGTTAAATGACTTGGCAGACTTTCAGCCAAGTATCTGCAGTTAGCAGTGTCAAAACCTGTCATTTGCTAACACTACATGAACCTTCCCTATCCCTCCCTGGAAACCTCTACCCTCAAATGCTGACAGTACAATATTCTTATTGCTGAATAAATCGTAAGTATACACCCAAAATATGACATGAATTTTCAAACTGGCCACTAGAAGGCAGAATTCCCTAGCGTTACTTTTTACAAACTCGACTGATGACAGTTTTCCCTCTACTTGATACTCAAATAACCATTTGAAGGTAGTTAAAATAAGTAGCATTATTCTGGTAAAAGCAGTATTTAATACATAAATATTTACATTTTTTAAATGTAATAATAACACATCACAAGGCAAAAGCATCGAAGTCACTGAATAGGCATCACAAACAAAACCTGTAAAAGCTCCATGTGCTGTGGAGACATATGGAAGACTGTACTGAACGTTCCTGCACCATCTCAAACTTCTATCTGACCTTTGAAGGACAGAGCATATGGACACAGAGTCCTAAGCAAGAGGAGATCAATCCTGTGTCCAGAGTGCAGAAGACGTGAGGCTGAGCGTACCACCGAGCTCACATGCCGAGCAGTCAGCTGGGAGAGGCAGCAGTCAGCTGGGAGAGGCGTGATGAAAGGAAGCTGCACTCATCTGCTGTGTTTTCACTTCCTGTTGGCGTGTCCCTGGTTTCCCCGAGTGTTTTGGGGATCTGCAGTGGCAACCACTAGAAAAAGAAAGGCTCTAAAAGAATCAGGGGTAATGAAAGATTACCCAAGAATTAAAGACTGGGAATCCCTTAAACCCAGTCCTGGGAAAGCACATGATGATTAGTATTTGGAAAAGGCAGGGAATGACTATTCAGTACAAAATGCAGCCTTCCCTAGGATAGGAAAAAACGGTTACGTTTGTTCAGAGATGTTTCAGGGCTGCTGGGGTATGCTGGGGCTTGCAGGAGTGGACTGACAAGCAAGGCACCCAGCTGAAGACCCCTCCACATCTGCAAACAGATGCAAGAAATGAACTGCACACAGAGGAGGCCATGAGGCTGAAGGCAGGCAAAACGCTGCAGGCTGAGATTGAGGGCTGCTCTCTTGGCATAAACTGCCAGCCATGCCCAGGGATCTGCTGTGTATGGAGACTGTGGCTCACGCCTGCCAAGGAACTGCTGCAGTGGAAAGGCAGCTTTATTTTCCAGAAACATCCACGGGATAAGGGATTCAGGCTGAACTCTACGATACAGAAAGTTTGAGAATAGATGCAGTCAGTCTTTCTCATTAGTTTGGGAATTTCAGTCTTTATTACAGTGGAATAGTTACTCACTCATCTATTTGGTTTCCTTGATCCTCTTGTTTTGTTTTCTCCCTTCAATTAATTTATGCTAATGACATGTTTATTTGGTATTCTTTAATTTTCTGTTGTTACACAAACAATAACCTACTCTCAGAGTTTTCTCTTTATGTAGTTTGATATAAGGTGGAAATGCTGGGTGAAAAGAAACTGAAGCACATCAGTGCTGTGAGGGGCCACCAAGCTCCTGAAGATGGAGAAATAAGTTCAACTGCTCTTGGAATCATAACTAGATACAAATTTTATTTTTAGTTTTCGTTTCCATGCATTTAAGTTATATAGTGAAACAGCAGCTTATTAACAAGTTTTAAAAGTCCATTTTGTGCTTGTCATCCCTTTAGCACCTTTCTCTTCTCCAAGCAGTTTTTCTGATTTGCTTCATGCCTCCTTCTGCACCTCAGAAGGCTTTCAATTCCCAGCCCTGCCCTTTTACTCTCTCTTGCATAACCAAGAGATTTGCCAAGGAGCCAGCTACAGGCTAGATGGGCATGAAGTCAAATCCATGAAACCTTCTTAAAAATACATTCAATTCGTACCATATAATGAGATAAAAAAGATCTATTTTTCAGCATCAAAAGTGCTTGTTACCTTTATCACCAAGCTCTCTAAAAAAGGTTGGTCCTGGTTTAGCTTTGGCAACACATAGCAGTGCAGCATCTACCTCCTTTAAAGATACAAACAAGAAAACATAAAGCCAGTTTTGAAAGAGAAGTCTATTCAGTTGGGTAACAGGAAGAATGAAAGTTCTTTTGAAGAAGGAAATTATCATTTTGCTTACCTTTTTTGTCAGTTTCTTGGCTGAGGCTTTACCTATAATAAAAAAACCATCATCATTCAATAACAAACTGAATTTAAACTTTGATCAGGTTCTGTGGCATTTCTTCAGATTTTTATGGGAAACTGCTAAGTAATATGAAACAGAGTATTTTGCAATAGGCAGTTTGTTTCTAATTCCCACAATGATCAAGAAAGGACAACTTTTAAAAATAATATGAGCAGTCTGTTCAACCTGGATGAAAGCTATCTGAATAACTTACTCCTGTGACTTTGCATACTGTGAGCTGCAAATATAGCACAGACTCCAAAGCAAGATTATATGGTAAGAAATGAAGGGATTTGCATGTACACATAATAATCCTTCAAGGGCAGGTTGAATATACAAAAGCTAAGAAATACTAAAAAAAAAATATGAAAATGTTAATGTTTCTATTAAGAAGTGAAACTAACAACTCTGCCTCCTGAAACAGCATCAGATGAAACCATACAAACTTTCAAGTGTTTATTAGTAGGTTCAAGTCTATTCACTCAAATAGGGGAGCCACTGGCAGGAGTAAAATAGGTTGTATTCCTGTGTAAATCACTCATTTGAGGAGCTGTGATCTATTAGCAGTGGAACATTTCAGCTGATTATGCATGGACCACAGAAATCCTGCAGTCATGGACTGGCAGAAGCTCTGCTCCATCCCTTGTCAGTCTCTGCCCTATCACACCGGCTTGTCTCATCATTTCTCCTCATATAGTTCTTAAAACCCCGTGTCCCTCACTCTTACCAGTCTCAGACCATTGCTCCCTTTCTTCATCACCAGTTCCCCTGGATTCCAGCTGGCCATTTCCCCCTATTTATTCACACTATGTAAGCACAAGCCAAGCTGCTTGCATTTGCTCTGAGGACTGGTGCCCCTGCTAGCAGCAGCCTTCTTTGCTCCATGCTCAGACTCCAAGGCTTGCTCTGCCGCTTCATGGGCATCTTGCCTCTGAAGGGTCACCAGCGCAGCACTGCTGTTTGGAAACGGACATGATGGAGGTGGCCTGGTGGGCAGCTGTCAACAAACTTCTACCAAGCACTTTCACAGGCCCATAATTTAGCTAGACAGAGGTGCATTCTCTATAAAACAGCAAATTTCCATAATGTTGGCAAGAGACGTGCCCAGCTGCAGGGGGTCTCCACTGTCAACTTTTGGCTTTGGATGAGGAAAGCTGCTGGAACATCTGAAGCAGCAATAGTTCATTTTTCAGCACAGGCAAACCAGTGCCCTGGCCTCTGCTCCCTGAACTGGCAGTAACAGTTTTGGTCATAAATTCCTCTCCCCATGTCCCTCCCCCAAATCAGCCTAAGGCAGACACCTGGCACATAACATTGCATCCCAAATGTTTAAGTTTGACAAAAGTTATAAGCAACTAAAATTAGAGGTTTAATACTGGAGTGCTGAGTGACCCCAGCAACAGGTGTTGCCAGCACCACCTGTTACTGTGGATGAATACATTTTTGTGCAGTGCATGTACATATATTTACACACATACATAAAACTACACAGATAGATACCTTCTAGCTCCGAGGGAGTATGAAATCTTCTACTTTGTCTCATTTGATCTAAGAGAAGTCAGATTAATAACATTCTGAGAGATCAAGCAAAACTCACTACATCCAGTAAGGTGGAGTCCTGAGCAGTGCAATGTAACACCATAGTTTAACACTGTTCATGGCTGCAGAGCATTTTGATGAATGGCTATTTAGTCAATTAAGTGATTCAGATCTTAGCTTTGAAATGTCACCGCCTCTGTACAGCACATTTCAACATGGAATTAAACTACAGCAGCTCTTTCTGCTCTGAGAGACCCACATAGGAGGGAATGAGTCAGGCTGTAGGTCTGCAAAAAAAAGTAACTCAAAGAAAAAAGGGAAACCCACCCTGCAATGTTTTTCACTAAGTGATCTTTGTACTGGTTGTCTGTATTGAAGCCAGCCATACAGCCTTATTTGGTTAACAGCAGCTCCACTCACTCCATTCTCCTGGTGGCCCCAAGAGCATCTTGCCCACTGCAGGCACCTTTTGCCAGCATCCAACAGGATGATGAGGGGAGACAAACTGAACTCTGTGAGCTGGAACAGCAAAGGCATGAATAATTGATGGAAGGCAAGGAGTAAGCACCGGCAGCTAAAGCTGAGACACTAGTTGGCCAAGTTTGTGAGGCTCTACTCTTGGTTAAGTCTGTGCTTCTTTCTTCATGTTGTATTCAGCACAGTAACTCTGAAACACTTCAGCCACCCAGTTTTGTAAGCATTACTCTACCTTGATAAAAATTAAGAAGGGGAAGGAAAATCTGTTATAGACATGATGGATTCTCTTTTCACCAGCTAGCAGTCACAACTGCAACTGCCTAGAGCTCACAGAAATGGCTGCAGCGCTCTAGCATTCAGCTGTGGCCACCCTCCAGTGGATGTATAAAATGTTGACATGCTGACTGACCTCCTTCAGAGATGAAAAGACAGTAACGATGACACAGAGGTGCTCATGCTACCCTTGACTGGAGAATCCTGGCATGGATGAAGGGACTGTGGGAGGAGAGGATGCCTTTGCTGAGTGGCAGAAGAGGAAGAGGGCAGCCACATCACTCCAGCACGTGGAGAGGGGCAGAATGAGGTGGGCAAGTTGGTGTCTGCTATGACTGACTGCACAAGGGGCAGCTGTTACAATAAGAGAGGAAAAAAGGAAGGAGGGAAAGGGAGAGACTGAGATATAAATGAAGATATTCCTACTTTTCTAAGTAGTAAATACAGTAGAGTAATAAATGTAGAGCCTTTTAATGTGCCTCTCTCAAATGGCTTCAAAATCAAAAGATTTAATAACCTAGTAAAATGAAAATGGCATACAGATGTCAGTAAGCACATGTACCAGTAGGGCAGGAATCTTTTTGCAAAAAACCTGACATTCGGGACACTAGTGTTATTTTTCATATTGCTGTTTGTGTAGAGTATTAAAATACGATCTTATAATAATATAATAATGTAAACTGTAGAATGAGTTTCCTTCAATAATTATTTGAACATTTTCTAAGAATTAAATCCAGTTATATTCTGATGGCACTGTCACCATTTAAAATCATCTGTGAAGACTGAAATCTGTCTTCACTTGGAAAAATTAGCTACTTTCATTGTAGCGCTCATAATATTCCTTGAAAACCAATTTAGCTCTTGGTGCTTATTCTCTCAATTTATTCACTTCCTAACAATGAGATCCCTTTAAACACCAACAAAGAAAGCTCTGTAAATATCACACACTACCGTTTCAAACGTACGAAACTCTGAGGAACCATGTCTTTTAAGGCCTTGTCTACAATAATTATGAAAAGAAGGTATAATTCCTCTTTGCAGAAAATGTACTGCAAAGGTATCAACAGTCTTCTTACCTAGTTCAGACACTGAAAAAAAAAGCCTCTTCCTTTCTATCAATTAAATCTTGGTGCTGTCATTCCTGACACATGACTACAAATATATCAAGATCTAAGTCTCCCTCTGAGGAATACAAGCAATGGTTATAATTATTAGGAACTACTTAATCTAATAAGTAAAAGATCTAAGGAGGAAAAGATGCACTTTTCCATAGTTTATTCTTTTACCTTGATAGATTCTTACTAATGGGTAAATGAATGACATATTAGAAAACTTGTTTGTCATAGTACGTGTCAAAGAAACTTGGAATTTTTATTGTTTTGAGCTTGAATGAATGAGAAGAAAAACAAGTTTTTTTGGTTTTTTTTTTCTTACAGACCTGCCAAAACTGTGATATAATTCTGGCTTAAAGGACAGTGAGTATTTTCAAGGGTCTCCACATATTTTACAGACGCTGTAATCTAATTTTCATCATCTATAGCGGATCCATGAAACAACAATGAGGTACAGACACACCTTTCATGGACAAAAAGCAATTTTAGCTTTTTAAGTTGAATGAATACTGAGTCTACTTAGAAGCACACAAATTCTGTGCTTTTAGCCAACAAAGTTAGCTGACAACTGTAATTAAGAAAACACTGCCAAAAGCAGCTATGTCAGCTTTAATTTGCCCTCGGCAAATCTGGGTATTTTGTCACATACATTTCTTACAATAGAAGTGTTTCCATCGTCTATCAGTTTTTTACACTAAGATGTAGAATAGACCTGACATCAATGTTAGGATTAACATTAGGAAAGGGCTGAATTAAACAAGTACCCACTTGCACTCAGTAACACCCATTTACACCTGTACAGCTAAGGAAAGGCTTAGATCTGACAAGAGACCTTCAGAGCCAAAGAATAAACAAAATCACTAAGATCAACCGTTAGAACAACAATCAAGTGCCAAAACAAAAATAGGGAAGTTATTACTATCTGCAAGAAAACATAATTTTACATGTCTGCAAGATTGGTCTACTTTTGCAATATGGAAATGAAAATTATTTTTTTAATCAATCTTTCACCACAGCCTTAACAACAAATGAGAAACTATTTAAAATAGGTATCTTTTCCTAGGAAGACAACTCCTGTCCCTTTTATCAGCAATGTCACTGAGATGTTTGACCAGGATGGTTTTTTAGCTCCATTTCAGATAGACAGAGTGATAAACAAGTAAAACAAAAAAAAAAATGTTCTCCCAGGTTTTTAATTTTAGATGGCAATCATTGCTATCTTTGCTGAAGCTTAGCAAATTCAAAATCATACTGGAGTACTAGGAAACCATTTGTTTTTTTCATGAAAATTTAAGATAACAGCATTAAGTATGTCACAATTTAAACAAACTCTGAGTCTGCAAAATGACAAGTGAAACAAACCTTTTAAGCTGGATAGGGTTTCAGCGCAGTCGTAATCTGAGGATCAGGGTATTTTAAAAACCAAACCCACTGTGCACAGCTTATGCTGTAGCCTTTATATCAGAGTCTACCTTGCAACCTTTCCTGCCATGGACCAAGAATTTTTATTTCTCTGTTTTAGCTGGCTGCCAGCTTTCACACAAGCTGAACTCTGAGAATCCTGTCCCTGTGCTCTGGCAAGCGGG